ACTAGTTCCTGGTTCCATTGATCTTTTTTAGTTTCTATATCATTTATTTCTGGTCTAATCTTTATTATTTCCTCCCTTCTGCTGATTTTGGGTTCTGTTGTTTTTCTGACTCCTATAGGTATAAGGTTGAGTTGTTTGAGGTAGGCCTGTATTGCTAGAAACTGCCCTCTTAGAACTGCTTTTGCTGCATTCCAAAGATTTTGTACTATTGTGTTTTCATTTTCATTTGTTTCCATGCATTTTTTTTTTTATCTTTCCTGGTCTACTGATTTATTGTGTAGTTGCATGTTACTTCATCTCTGTGTGTTTGTGCTCTTTCCAGATTTTTTCTTGTGATTGATTTCTAGTTTCATAGTGTTATCATCAGAAAAGATGCATGTCAAATGCTTTTTCTACATCTATTAAATTGATCATACAGTTTTTGTCCTTTCTGTTATTGATGTGATGTATCACACTGATTGCTTCGCAAATATCGAGCCTCCTGTGCATTCCTGGAGTAAATCCCACTTGATTGTGGTGTAGGAATTTTTTTTTTTTCTTTTTTGAGCTTGTTAAGACTTGTTTTGTGGCCTAATATCTGATCTATCCTGGAGAATGTTCCTTGCACACTTGAAAAGAATGTATATACTGCTGTTTTAGGATGAAGTGTTCTGAATATGTTCAATCCATCTGGTCCAGTGAGTCATTCAGAGCCACTATTTCCTTGTTGATTTCCTGTTTTGATGTTTTCATTGATGTATGTGGAATGTTAAACATCCCCTACTATTATTGTTTGGCTGTCAATTTATTTATATTTGTTATTAACTGTATTATGCATTTGAGTGCTCCCATATTGGTGCATAAATATTTACAACTATTATATCTTCTTGTTGGATTATCCCCTTCATTATGATGTAGTGCCCTTCTTTGTCTCTTATTACAGGCTTTGTTTTAAAATCTGTTTTATCCAATAGAAGTCTGCTTACCCGGGGTTTGTTTTCACTTCCATTTACATAATAAATGTTTTTCTATCCCTTCACTTTCAATCTGCAGGTGTCTTTAAGTCTGAAAGAAGTTTCTTGTAGGCAGCATATAAGTGGGTCTTGTTTCTTTATCCAGTCTATCACCCCATGTCTTTTGATTGGAGTCCATTTATTCAAAGTAATTATTGATAGATATGTACTTACTGCTAGTTTGTTTGTTTTGTGGTTGTTTCTTTAGATGGTCTCTGTCTTCTCATGCTGTCATAGTTTACCTTTCTTTAGTGGGTTCCTTTCTTTTTATTTTTTCAGATCTATTACTAGTTTTGGATTTGTGGTTACCATTGTTTGTATATAACATCTCCATCTAGGAGTCTATATTAAGTTTACCAGCTACTTTAGCATTCTTTACCTCTCTCTCCCTCACATTTTAAGTATGCAGTGTCATGTTTTACATCCTTTTATTTTATGAATCCCTGATCCAATTTTTGCAGAAATACTTATTTTTACTGCTTTTGTATTTTTAATCTCACTTATGGTCTTTCTTTTCCACTCAGGGTCCTCTTTAATATTTCTTATAGGATGAGTTTAGTGGTCATGAATTCTTACAGTTTTTGTTTGCCTGAGAAACTCGTGATGTCTTCTATTCTGAATGATAGCCATGCTGGATAGTGTATTCCTGGCTGCACATTTTCCCCTTTCAGCACTTTGAATATGTCATGCTGCTCCCCTCGGGCTTGGTCCTGCTAAAAAATTCACTCGTAGCTTTAGTGTTTGTTCCCTATGTAATGTCTTCTTTTCTCTCCCTGCTTTTGAGATTTTTTTTTTCTTATCAGTACTACCATTTTAATTACTGTTTGTCTTGGTGTGGACCTCCTTAGGTTGAATATTTGGGGCCACCTCTGTGGCTCCTGGATCTGTCATCTGTTTCTTTCCCCAGGTTAAGGGAGTTTTCAGCTATGAGTTTTTCAAATAAATATTCTGTCTCCTTTTCTGTCTCTCATTTTGTAACACGAATGTTATTCTGCTTAATGGGAGACACTGAGTTCTTGAAGACTGATCTCAAATTTGCATAGTTTTTCTTTTTCCTCTCGTGTGTTCATCTTGATTCCTTTTCATTATTTTGTCTTCCAGGTCACTAATTTGTTCCTATACTACTTCTAGCCTATTCATTCCATCAGTTGTATTTTTTTAATTTATTGTGTTCTTCATCTCTGGTTCTTTTCATCTCTCTGTTAAGGGTCTCACTGAGGTCCTCTACTCTTTTTCAAGTCCAGTGAGTACTTTTGTGATCATTACTTTAAATTTTCAACCAGGCATACTACTTAAACCTTATTACTTAGTCTCTCACTGTGGTTTGGTCTTTTCCTTTCATTTGGGACTTATTCCTCCATCTCCTCATTTTGTCAACTCTGTGTCTGTGTCCATGTGTTAGGGAAGTCAGCTATCTCTCTTGCTCTTAATGGTAGTGGCCTTAGGAAGAAGAGATCTTGAAGTGCCCTGCAGTGCACTGTCCCCTGTTCCCCAGGGCCTGGAACTTCAGGGAGTGTCTCCTATGGGTGCTGCATATGCCTTGCTGTTGTGTCCTGGCTTCTTTTTCCTTCAGTTTTCTCTCCAGGCTCTTTGTTTGTTGTGGACAGTATTTGTTTCCCAGCAGGAGTGGGGCACATTTTAACAAAGTGTCCAGTGGTCTGCTTGTGAAGTGATCTTGCCCCCACTGCCACCAGAACTGAGTTTCCCTCAAAACGCATGGGTCAGAGATGTGGTATTGGCAGGGTTTGTAGCAGTCTTCACGGGGAGGGGCCCACAGTGCCACGACTGAGTGCTACTGGTAGTGACAGATCCGCTGAAGCATAGTGGAGGTGTGGCTTGGTGCCAGTAAAATGAGGAGTGTCAGTGTAGTTCTGGATCCCACAGATGACCATTGTTTAATGCTGGGGGTAGGAGAGGAAAGTGATGCCTTCCAGCTCCCTTGTTCCTGCAGGGGTCTCCCCTTGATCCCTGTCTCTGGGCCACACTCTTGAGATGAGCAAATCACTCTCCTTCCTGCCTGCCCCTAACGGTTCTGAAACTGCTGGTTCCATGCTAGATCTGCAAGGCTGTTTGGTGTGCTGTCTCTTTAAGGGTGGAATTCTGCTTCCTAATACCCTCTGATGCCAATGTTTTAGATTCCAGATTCTGTGTCCCATTGGATGTAAGAACTCATGACATTCGGCCTCTCTCATTTCCAAAAGCATATGTTACAGGGATTCATTCTCCCTATTGGTGAGCTCCCCAGTGTGAGAGTCTGTTTTTCACCATTCTCTGCATCACCTGCCTCCTCCCTGCTGTGGACAACCATGGTTTGTTTCTCTCCCAAACTGCGTCTTTGCCCTTCTGACCTTCTCTTACGTGGCCTCTTCTCTACCTGGAGAAGTTTTACTTCTTCCTTACCGATTTAGATGTCTTTTTATTTCTTGTCTAATGGCTACAGCTACAATTTCCAGGACTGTGTTGAATAAAAGTGGTGAGAATGGACTCCCTGTCTCATTCTTGATTTTAGAGCAAAAGCGCTCAGAGTTTCACCATTGAGTATGATGTCAGCTATTGGTTTGCCAGATGTGGCTCTTATTCTGTTCAGGTATATTCCCTTTAATCCCATTTTGTTTAAAGTGTTTATCACAAACGATGTTAAACTTTATCAAATGCTTTTCTGTACCTATTGGCAAATGATCGTTTTTATTTTTTTAAAGATTTGATTTATTCATGAGAGACAGAGGCAGAGACATAGGTAGAGGAAGAAGCAGGCTTCTTGCAGGGAGCCCATTGCAAGACTCTATTCCAGGACCCCGGGATCACAACCAGAGCCGAAGGCAGATGCCCAGCCACTGAGCCCCCCAGAGCCCCAGCAAATGATCGCTTTAATGTTATTGTTGAATGTGGTTTGCTGATAATGTGTTGAGGATTTTTGCATCTTGGTTTATCAGAAACAGCCTGTCATTTTCTTTTTTTGTAGTGTCTTCAGTTTTGGTACCAGGGTAATGCCGACCTCATAGAATATATTTGGAAGCTTTCCTTCCTTTATGTTTTATTAGAATAGTTTGAGGAACTTAGGTATTAACTCTTTAAATGTTTGGTAGAATTCACCTAAGAAGCCATTGGTACCTTGACTTTTGTTTGTTTGAGAATACAAGAACAATCACCTAAATGCGTGGATATTTGGGCTGTTTTCTTGATGAATTCTTTTAGGATTTGCTCATTTATTTGCATTTGCTTCGGGGCGTTTGTACTTGGTGTGTATGCCCTGGTAGATTGTCATGAATGTAGTAGCACCTCCAAGGCTTTACCACAGAGATTAGACTGGTTCTGTATGTATGGCAGCTCTGTTGTGCTGTGTGCCATTTTGGCTTAGGTTTGGCACTTGACCTGCCATCTCATCTGTCTATTCCTCAGAGTTACTTGGCATTAAGTTTATGCTGTAGTCTGGTTCTCTTTCCTCCCTGTAATATTGCAAATAGATGAGCTCTGTGTATGTGTTGAAGAAAGAAGCACATTAAATCACCTAATACTTTTACATTAAATGGATGTCTAGTTCATCCTCTTGATTTACAAAATGCTGAATAAAGAATTTAGTTCTAACTTTTTGAGAGGTTAAAACTAAAGAAGATTCAATAAAGATTATATTATTTTATTCTGTTATTTTCAATTTAGAGTGAAAGATTTATAATTTAAAATGTGAACAAGTGAGGTGTAAAGAAAATGTTGAATGTTGATACTTTTGGGGTTTAGACATAGTACCCATAAGAGTAAGCATCCCAATAGTGAGAACCCCAGCATGTGTGACTGACATAGTTACTTTGTGATGAGCGTGGTGGCTGGAGTGTCCCATACCTGGTGAGATTTCTGCAGGACGGCCTTTGAGGGACGGATGCTCTGTTGTCCTCACTATTCAAAACAAGTGGGTATATCCTGCCCCAGCATGTGGTGCTGGAAACTGGTCAGCATGTTGGGCTCCAGTGAGATCTTATTTCAGTTTGGCCTTTGTTGCTGTGTCTGTTGCAGAATAATCCGCACAAGCTGACTTTGTCAATGACACCCGATGACAAGTATCTGGAGAAACAAGCACAGATGGAGACAGAAAAACTAAAGCAGAAGGTCAACTCTCTTTCCCCGAAAGACAAGCAGCAGATCTATGAGAAAGGTAGATGTTTTCATCCTAACTCCTAGCCTTCAGCCAAACCCAGTGAGCTTTGTAAAGGGAATGTACAGTTGGATGCAAGTATCAATTCCACTAACAGACATTTATTGGGCACTGACAAAGGTCAGTGCTGGGTGTGATGGTTTCAGTGCCAGGGTTTGCCTTTATTCTCAGGAGATTCATCCTCTAGTTCAGCAGGAAAGGCAGAAGTTGTAGGAAGGAGGCCTTACATTTTACAGATTTTATAAGTACTTGGTACTTACCAGGGGCTGTAATATACCACTAAAATATGTTGCAATCTGTAGTTATAGTTAATCACCAGGTGAGCACTGCAGACTGTATGATTTTGAGCTCAGAAGAAGTGAATCTCACTAGGGGTGGTGGAAGGGGAACTAGGGGTGGTGGAAGGGGAGGAAGGCGGGGGGTGGCGTGAATGGGTGACAGGCACTGAGGGGGGCACTTGATGGGATGAGCACTGCGTGTTATTCTGTATGTTGGCAAATTGAACACCAATAAAAAATAAATTTATTATTAAAAAAAAGTAAGAGAAAAAATAAAAAGAAGAAGAAGTGAATCTCGGTGAGGGATGAAGGCCTTGTCATGAGGTCCCGCCCATGTCTGTGTGGTGCAGGTGTGGGTGAAGACAGAGTCAGCTACATGATTTCTTACTGTCTAAACACACACTTACTATTAGGACCAGTGGTCTGCTCCAGAGTATTTGCCCAAAAGAAATGAAAGTGTATGTCCATACAAACTTCAGGGGAGCTATATTTCCATCAACATGGTATATCTGTACTGGGAAATAACGGCTCAGCCACACAAAGAGGAGCAAAATCCTGGTACACTCCATAGTGAGGAATCTCTAGAGCATTGTGCTGGGGAGTTAGCAGGCACAAAAATACCTACTCAGTCCATTTACATGAAATTGTAGAAGTGGTAAAACCATCCTAGCAGAAGCAAGTGAGGGCAGGGGGTCACTTGCAGGGAGCCAGGAGGGAACTTTCTGGGGAATAGAAATGTTCTGTCTTCATGTGATGATTACATTACTTTATGCATTTGTCAGAATTCATTGAATTATCTTTACAACTGTGGATTTTGTCATATGTAAATTCTATATTAACAGAGTCTACCAAAATAGGTATACAGAACATACAGACACCGCCTACCTCTTCAGAGTGGTAGTTGGCTGGGATTATGTGAGGGATGGTATTGTTGGCTTTAGGTAGGAAGTGAGTAATGCTAGATTTCATGATTTAATCTCATCAAGGCAGAGTTAATTTCAGCATGTAACCTCTCCCTCTGTCTCAGAGTTCTTGTTTTGACATACAGCTATTCATACATTTAATAGCTAATTGTGAGTAATATAACAATCACTTTTGTTGCATGTGTGCCAGCTGACAAATGCCAACTTGCTTTTTTAAATTGAGATATTGATTGCTTCTTGGCCTTTGGTTAAGATCAACTGCAATACTGTTCTGATACATTTAACACATGATGATGCATTTCTATTCGGGCACAATCTATTAGGTGGATTTAAGTAAGTAAGTAGAGATGTAAGTGGTACGTTATGAGTTTCAAGAGTGTAGCACCATGAATGGCTATTTGTGCAGATTGCTCAGTGATCACAATGCACCTCATTGACATCTGTCACCACACAGTTGGAATTTATTTTTCTTGTGTTGGGAACTCATGAGATCTACTCTTAGCAACTTTCAAATATGCAAATATTTGAAATATGCAAATACGGCACTATTACCCAGAGTCACCAGTGCTGTGCGTTGCATCCCATGACTTATATCTGTAAGTTTGTACCTTTTGACCCCCTTCATCCGTTCCTCCCACCCCAGCCCCCAACCTCTGGCACCCACCAATCTGTTGTCCATGTCTGTGAGCTTGGTGTTTGGTTTTTCGGGTGCCATTTATGAGTGGGCTCATAGAGTATTTGTTTTTCTTTGACTTCTTTTACTTAGTGTAATGATCTCTGTATTGCCATAAATGACAAGATTTCATTGCTTTTCTATAGCTGGATAATAATCCATTGCATATATACCACATCTGTATCCATATGTGGACACTTAGGGTTGTACTCATGTTTTGGCTTTTGTGAACAACACTGGAATGAACATGGGGGTACAGATACCTTTTCGAGTTAGAGTTTTTGTTTTCTTTGGGTAAATGCCCAGAAGCAGAATTGCTGGATAATGTAGTGGTTCTGTGTTTGATTGAAGAGCTTCCATACTGTTCTCCACAGTGGCTGCAGTTTGCATTCCCACCAATAGTGCACAAGGGCTCCCCCTTTCTCTGCATCCTTGCCAACACTTATTTCTTGTCTTTTTGACTTTAGCCGTTCTGATGGGTGTGAGGCCTCATCATGGTTTTGATTTGCATTTCCCTATGTTGATTGTTATGGAGCGCTTCGTATTCTTGTTGGCCATCTGTATGTCTTCTCTAGGAAAGTGACTGTTCAAGTCCTCTACCCATTTGTAACGTTTTGGTGTTGAACTGTGTAAGTTCTGTTACATCTTTGGGTATTAGCCCTTTACAGATGAGGCTGGCCGTATTTTCTCCCATTCCATAGATCGCCTTTCATTTTGTTGATGGTTCCCTTTGCTGTGCAGAAACTTTAGTTTGATGAAGTCCCACCCATTTTCCATTTTTGATGAAAGTCCTTTGTAGCACAGAACATAATTCCAGGTCTAAGCAACAGAACGTACATTCTCTCAGTTGTCAGATTGTTGGCGTGGCCACGGTGGTATGCTCTTGTCCACACCCAACATGTGAGTGGATGGAGGCTTATTTTACAAAAGCATGTTACTTCACAGATCACCACAGAGTTCCATTAAGTAGGAGATAGTGCTAGTGCATGTAAGGGGGTATTGCAGGTCATTAAGTCTTAAATGAGGACTTTAGTGTGAGCAATCTGTGAATCAAAGTTTAATCTGTAGCTGACCACCAATGAACATAGTGAGAATGGGAAGTTAATTAACTTTAAACCGTCCTCCAGTTTAGAGCATCTCTGTATAATGGGTCACATGCTGTTGTGAAGGGTGTAGCCTCTGCCATGGGGAGCGTGTTGCTGGCCGAGGAGAAGCCGCTGGTAGAGATCGCTGTGTGCCTGCAGGTGCTTTGGGAAAGGAGTAGCAGGTGTCAGGGTGTGGCTGCCAACAGGATGAGGGGTGGGCCCTCCAGCTACTCCCCAGACTAGGTGAGGGGAGAGGCAGGAAGCAGGCTTTCAGGTCCAGCACACAGGTCCAGGGGTGCAAGGGGCAGGAGGGGCAGGGTCAGCCTAGTTGGTCGATGGAACAGCCTGGTGGGGGCGGGCCTGGGAATTCTGTGGGAATTTGCAGGAAGCCTGCGCTTTAGTGCCTCCCTCAGCGAGTGCTGTGTGCCAGGCCCAAGAGGCCAAGTCCCTGTGTCAGGCCACCTTGAAGGCCCCTGGAGGTGATAGGTGCTAGGGACCGCAGGGGGCCAGACATGGAGGCAGCTCAGCCCAGCTCTTCACACTGTCACGGGAAATGAAGCTGCCACGTTTGTTTGAAAGAACTTTACTGGAGTCTTTGCTCATGTACCATCCAGTGCTGTTGTCAGCGCGTGCGCTGAGCCTTGGTTCTCTCCCTGATGGGCTGGGCCGTTGTGTCTCCAGGAAGGAGGGGGTCTCCCCCTCTCCCCCTCTCCTGAGATCCGTGAGGGCTCAGGCCCAGAAGGAGGTGTGCTTGAATTCGTAATTTGTGAAATTTATGTGATTACAAGCATGGTGCTGAAATTAGTGCAGATGAAATAAGAGTAGACAAGTTCAAAAGTTGGAGCTTCACGCCAGTGAGAAATGGGTTGAAAACTCTGGCCCACCACCACCCTCCTCCCCGCGAAGTGGTTCCCTTACGTGATTGAGAGGAGGAGAGTTCAGAAAGCACGGTCTCCTGAGCAGGTTACTGGGCCTTGGAATGGGCTTGCTGGGAAACACGGGAACTGTAAAACCACAGGGCTGGTGGTGCGGCCAGGCTGACTGTCAGGATGAAAGGCTGCAGCAGGGATGGACAGACAGACGAACAGCATCAGACCTCCCAGTGGCCGTCCTGAGCATTCGTCACCCGCTTTGTTCTAGGCTTAGAACTACAGGATCAGCAGAGTAGACCTCAGGACGCCTCTTGTCTGCCAGCACTGAAGGTGTCAGACATCGAGCCCACCATGTCGTTCACGGAGTTGGAGGTGGCCCTGGCAGGTCAGTCCCTGGGCACGGTGTCTGCAGGAGGTACCACATGTGAATGATTCCCATGAAACGTCCAACCGCCCTCTTGATAGGCTTGCTCTTCATGGTTCGTGTAGGTGGGATTTCCTGTGCAGTGACAGTAGACTTCCCTACTCAGGGATGTTCCTCCCAGTGGGCTCACGGGGCGCTGCTTCCACAGTCCCACGAGGCTCCTGATCACCCGGTAGCTGTACTGAGCGCAGCCTGAGGGCCACCGGCACCCTCCGTGCCCCTGGTCCAGCCTCACCCCGTCAGGAGAGGCGGCAAGCCACGCAGGGAGCCCGAGCACACAGCAGGGCCGCGGCGTGGTCTCCTGCCAGCTCCTTCCGGCCCACCCTGCATTACTGCTCATGGGGAGGCGTGCGAGACATGCTGCGGGGCAGCAGCACACTGTTGGGTGCCGGTCTTGGGCATGCTGTGCCCGAGGAGTCCTGACACCCTGCTGCACTCCCACCAGGGCCATCCCACTGGTTCCTAGGGCTCCTCCGTTTACCATGCTGATGCATGAGTGTGCATGCACGAATGAGATCTTTGTTTCTGGGTGAGGCCTCCACAAAGTGGGGTTACTAACGTGTTTGAGTTTCCCCTAGCTATGGTTTATCAGTGAGGTTCATTAAGTGTTCATTAAAAGAATTAGTGAAGGTAGACCACGGGTTGTCCATAAATGCCCTGCACCCACCGCTGCTGTAAGAAATTGAGCCCGCAGCACCTGCCCCCGAGGGCCTTGGGACTCGGGAGGCCATGGGGGCCACGGTGGGTCCTCAGACCCCGGGTTTGGGGGTGGCATTTGGGAGGGGTGAGGGAGTGGGAGCTGTCAGCCCACCGTGACAGCATGGAGGGCTGCAGGTGGGCACAGGCAGGGTCCGGCCTGCCCGAGCACCAGGGCAGCTCCAGAGCCTGAAGAACGTTCCTTGCCCAGCCCTCCCAGAGGCGTGGGTTGTTTAGTGGTCACCAGGAATGGGCAGTAGTCTTTGCTGATGGAAATTTTAAATACCCTTGAAAAGCACCAGCATTTTAAAGATACTAAACAATGATCATGTGATTCAAAAGTCTGCTTTTTGCCTCTGCAGCTGGCGAGACCCCCGTGCAGTACTGTGCCCAGCCCACCAATGGCGTGGTGTACTTCAGAGCATTTGCCAGCCTGCACACCCTCCCGGACGAGCTCCGGCCCTACGTGCCGCTCTTCTGCAGCGTCCTCACCAAGTAAGGGGACACACGTGTTGATGCAGTCAGCACGTCTTCATGTATTTTGTTACTGAATTTTTCTGTATAGGTATTTATTTTGCTTTGGTGCATCAGCAATCACTTTTCAGCATATCTCAATTTTGAAAACCCATAGTGTTATTAAAGCGTGAGTAAAATGTGATATATTTGTTGAGAAGTTCTACAAAAGCTGTATTTTCTTACTAAAATGTAAGGACTTAAAGTATTTATAAGCCCAGAGTACATGGTGATACTTAGACATATCTATGTCAACAACTTAGTTCCTTTTAAAATGGTGAGAAGAATGATTGTTGCATCATCAGCATATGTAAGTCAACAAGTGTGCCACATAGGCACGGGGTGACCTTGCGAGGCCGAGGCATGTGCCCTCCTCCGTGGAGCCAACTAGCTGCTGCTACTCTAGGAAGCCATTGTCTGCATCCGTGTGGGAACACAGGGGACCCAGGTGCCAGGACAGCACGGCAGGGGGACTCTAGCGAGTGGGCCGGTCGCCCCGATCCCCCCATGTGCACAGCCTTCTCCGAGAGGGAGCCCGAGGATGTGGGTTCCGTGTGAAGACGCCTCCAGCCATTTCCACGTTCTCCTCCCCTAGGCCTCCTGCTGCTCGTCCTTCGGCGGCACGGCCATTCCAGGGGGACCTCATGAGTGGCGCTGTGGCCTGAGTTATTACCCAGGGAATAGGATGTTGCTCCAAAAAGCATCATCCACCTGAGAGGACTTCTGCTATTCCTGAAACTCAGGAAGGCTTGCTCTCCGGATGTCCTTTCTGACCTGAGCATTTGGGCAGGGGAAGTCTGTGCCAGGATGTCATAGAGAAAGGAAAGTGTAGCGACCACCAGAAGCCCCAGAAAGCTTGGTGCTGCCACAGCGGATCTTAGTGTCCCGTTAGCGCTGGGCAGCCGCTATGTCCGCCTGGAACGGGGCGCACGGTGGGACGCACAGCTGTGCTCGAGTGTTGCTCGGGTGTGAGGGCGGGGATGCAGAGGGTACGGCCTGGCCGACCTGTAGGCAGCTCGCAGCTGATGGGGACGCGGCCAAGACCATGCTGGCAACTGGGGGGACCGTGCTTTGCTGTCGACAGGCTGGGCTGCGGTCTTCTGGACTACAGGGAGCAAGCACAGCAGATCGAGCTGAAAACGGGGGGGATGACCGTGTTGCCCCACGTGCTGCCCGACAATGCGCATCTGGACACGTACGAGCAGGTAATGTGGTGCTTCTGCATCCCAGGGCTCCACGGGGGTTCTCCAGCACCTTTTTTCCCCTCTTAAATAACTTTTCTTTCTTTCATGATTCAGGGTGTGCTTTTCTCATCTTTCTGCCTCGATAGGAACCTTCCGGACATGATGCACCTATGGAGTGAAATATTCAACAGGTAACTGTTAGTAAAGACCTAATTCTGGGGCTCAAGGGTTGTCAAAGCAGTTTCTACTCATTTCTCTGTGGTGGTTGGTTTCTGAGGTTAGTTTTAGTTGTAATTCCTGAGGGTACTTAAATCATTTGGAAACTCTAATTTTCCATGATATTGAAAGGGGTTATGGGCGGGTGTCGAGGAACTTAACGCATTTTTCTTTTTACAAAGCCCGTGCTTTGAAGAAGAAGAACACTTCAGAGTGTTGGTAAAGATGTGCGCTCAAGAGCTGTCCAACGGGATCCCGGATTCAGGGCACCTGTACGCGTCCGTCAGGGCGAGCAGGACCCTGACGCCCACGGGGGACCTGCAGGAGACCTTCAGCGGGATGGAGCAGGTGAGGAGCCAGGTCTTCCAGAGTTGGTGACAAACTGTTTACATCCCAGAAAACCAAATTTCATAGGAAAGGTTCTTTTAATTCCCCCTCATTGGCCCACCCGTCCCCGAGCTGAGCTGGGCAGGTGCATCCCATCCTGGCACAGTCGCATTCCCGACCAGGAGGGAGGAGCACCTGTGGTGGCCGCCCCGCCCCGGGGTCCATCTCTAGGTTTCGGCTTCTCTGGCTCAGGTGAAGTTGATGAAGAGGATCGCAGAGATGACAGACCTCGGGCCGGTGCTGAGGAAGCTGCCGCACATCCAGAAACACGTGTTACACCGGGACAACATGAGGTAGCGCCTCCCCCGCTGTTCCCTGAGTGCGGTGTTTAGATTCTTCTCACTTGAAGTTGTAGTTACGTACACTCACCTTCAATCAGAGAGAGAGTCTGGGGCTTGGGGTCAGTCATGGAATTTGTTCTGGATTTCAGATGTTCCCCATCATCAAGAAATCATTTTTTATGGGAAAAAAATATTTTAAGTTTAGTAAATGTGGAAGGTGGGAAGGCAAGCTATTGCAATCCTAGAACTGCAAAGTAGCTATTATCTTGCTAGTGTCTATAAGCATGAGACGGGAAAGGTTAGCTTGCTTTAGAGCAAAGATGCAGTTTCTCGTGAGAGTAGTTACCTGATGACACGAGCCACACACAGTCGCCCTCAGGCCCGTGAGCACGAATGACATGGTAACAGAGTTGACAGTGTACTCTGAGTGTCTCACTAGCAGGGACACAGATGTGGATTAGCTTTTAGTTCCTCGTAGAGGGTCCACCAGGGCTTCCTGGCACGGCCCCTGGCTGCCACTTCTGGGCCATGGCCCCCCTGCACCCATGGGCACTCAGACCTTCTGTCTCCTCTGTAAGACACGACTTGGCAGATTTATGCAAGAAGTGGATGATGGCTCCCGCGTGTAGTCAGTAGTAATATGATGGGACCTGCTATTAATTACAATAAATTCAAAAAAAGAAAAACAAAACAAAATAATAATTACAATAAATTCAGGAGCTACGGCCTGAAGGGAGAGACAGACGCCATCGGTAGTCTGTACCGTCCAGTAACTTGTACGTGAGAACAGTATTTGTGATCTTGTGGAATTTCCAATAGTACATTTCTGGGAGCCTGGGACGTCTTTGGCAACTGCCACTTCTCCACTTCAAGGACCAGTTCACGTTTCAGGGTGTTGATTTCTCTCCTAGACGGTAACGTAGGTTTTCTGCCTGCAGACAGAGTGTGAGTCCGAAGGCACTGTGGGCAGACCTGCCTGGGTCCTGGGCTGTCCACGGAGCCGAGCAGCGGCGGTGCGCTCATGGCGTCTGCGTGGCCATCCCCCGGCTCTGGCCCTGACCTCACGGGAAAGCACTGTGGAGACGGCTCTGTTACGTTTGCATTGGCCTTCTCTTTCCTTCTAATATTTTTGAAAACTATTTTTTTTTTTTTTAAGATTTTATCTATTCCTGAGACAGAGAGAGAGACAGAGACACAGGCTCTGTGAGAGGGAGAAGCAGGCTCCATGCAGGGAGCCCGATTTGGGACTCGATCCCAGGACCCCGGGGTCACGCCCTGAGCCGAAGGCAGATGCTCCACCGCTGAGTCACCCGGGGGCCCCTTGAACATTATTTGATACAAAATGGATGTAGTAGTCACTTCCTTGTGTTACTTCTACAAAACAATGAGTGAAACAGTGTTTTATGTTTTATAGTAATGGTTTCTGACATATTTGTGATTTTTTTTTTTTGCACAGGTGCTCCATGAATGCTACACCTCAACAGATGTCTCTGGCAGAAAAAGCAGTAGAAAAGTTCATTAGAAGCCTCAGTCGGAGTAAAACAGAATGGGAGCCTGTGTGCCCGTATGTGGTCGAGGTGAGACCTGCTCCCTGGCCACAGGGCCGTCGGCCCCTTTCATTCCCACAAGGGTCCCATGTAGGGGGTACGATATCTGTGGTGTCCCCACGGCATGGCAGGGCGAGGTAAGAAGTGAACTCAAACCGGGTAGGCTGGCCTTCGGCCCCTTATGCCCTTGTCACTCGAGCCTTGGAGTGAACACTTCCTGCCGGGGAAGAACAGTGGGTTTGAGACCCGCACCATTGGCGTGAGAACAGCCCAGGACTGACTCGGTGTCCCGTTCCCCGCCGAGCAGGTTTAGTCTGGCTCAGCAGAACCGTCAAGGAGCTTCTCCTGGGGGAGGTGGACAGTGCAGGGGTGTTACAGAGCATTCCTGCTCCCGTGACCGTGGCAGGGCCACCGGGCCTGTCTTTCCAGTGCTGGAGCCCCCAGGAAGGGGGCATGCTCCTGCCTCTCTCTGACCATCTGGAAATCCATACAGAAATGTCATGTGCTTAAAGCGGGGTTACTGAAAACACGTAAGCCCATGTGCCCCGACACTTGTCACTGGCTATGAGTTTTCGTGACTGTATCTTATCCGTTTAAGGGGAGTTTGGGGTTTTTCTCATCTCTCTTGGAAACATTTTACTTTCAGAAACCTGCTCCTGGTGGATCCAGCGTAAGCTCCCACGTGAGCGGCCCCCGAGTCCTAAGGAAGCTGATCACAGTAAGTTAACACGGTCCCCGTCACCTTGGAGAGAGCAGGTCCGGGCTTGTCTGCCCTGCCATCAGGTGCCTCACCCCCTGGGGCCTCTCCCCTGCGAGCAGGGCTGTAGCCTGTCCTGCACCTGTCAGGGCCCTTGGGCTCCCCGCCTCGCTGTCACCTGGGCACCCTGCACCCTCTACTTGCACCGCTGCGGTGCATGAGGGCTCCCATTTGGTTCATCAGAGGATGGCAGTGTAACATGTTTCTGGAGAAAAACGCAAAGATGAGGTCACCAAGTCACTTACGGGTGGAAACAATGTAGGAGGAAATGTTTCTAACCGAGAAACTACACACTAAAGCCCTAGATCAGGGTTGAGTGCTTTGTTGTCCAGAGAGCTTGTGTGGAAGGACGTGGTCACCGTGCCCTTAGCCGCGAGGGCGAGGCCGGGGGGCCCGCGGGAGGAACCCACACGGCCTGCCTGTCCTCCTCAGGACCCCACATTCAAACCATGGCAGACGAAGACGCACTTCCTGCTGCCCTTCCCGGTGAACTACGTGGGCGAGTGTGTTAGGACGGCCCCCTTCACAGACCCGGACCACGCCAGGTGCGGGGCCAGGGACGGGATGGCCGGGGTGGGTGTGCAGGCCCGGCCCCCACGGCTGCTCTGGGGGTTTCCGTGAGGATAGAATCACAGGTGGCACTCAGCTGTTTGGCCAGTTTGTTTCCATGCTCCCAGGAGGTGAATGTGTGTCCTGAGTGCTGAGCCCTCGCACCAGGGGTATGTGCTCCCCTGTTGTTGAACAGGCTGAGAGCACGGACATGTCCTAAGGAGGACCATGGCAGTAGCAGTACCCGTATTTTTTCCCCATTCTCTGTTTTTGTTAGTTTTCCAGCAGTGAACTCGTTTTCTTTATTTAAAAATAAGTGGGAAGTCAGCCCCCAGTCCCCGCTGGAGAGGGGGGCACCCGTCTGCACAGGTCTGGCACCGTGAACCCACGATATGAGCGGCTCCCCACCCCCCGCCATCTCCAGGGGACACCTGTTGGCTCCTGCAGTTGGCGGCTGGACTGAGACCAGTCAGTGGGGAGCGAGCAGGGTCCCGCTCAGTCCTGGAAGGTCCTTGCTGGAACCATCCGTCTCTTCCAGCGCATCGGCCATAGGTGCACTGGATCTGAATGTAGGACTCAGAAGTGCACTCTCGGAGTGTGTACACCTGCGGAAATCTCCTTAGGAGCTTTCCGTGTTTCAGTGGAGATACACGGCCACACCACTGGGGGATCTAAAGAAAGGATGGTTTATATATTTGCCCGAGCGATAAAATTTAGTCACCTCTTCCCTTGCTCAGTTTCGGTGTCCCTGTGTGCTGTAGCCAGAGGAGCCCGTAAGTGTCGAGGGGCGTCCACGTCCCTCTCACCACCTCTCCCCGCAACCCTGCCTTAAAAATTCACCTCACGTTGTTCTCGTGATTGTTCTCTCTTGTTCATTAGAAAAGGGGAGACCGGGATCCCTGGGTGGCGCAGCAGTTTGGCACCTGCCTTTGGCCCAGGGCGCGATCCTGGAGACCCTGGATCGAATCCCACGTCGGGCTCCCGGTGCATGGAGCCTGCTTCTCCCTCTGCCTATGTCTCTGCCTCTCTCTCTCTCTCTCTGTGTGACTATCATAAAAATAAAAAAAAAATTTAAAAAAAAAAAAAGGGGATACCATAGTGCATCTTGGTTTTATCTTAAGCCAGAAAGACATCAAGTGCGTAACTACTTTGTTAAGTATGGTACTTCTCTGGCAGGCCTGCGGCTTTTAACATGTGCTTTTTTTTTTAATCATTCATTTCAGTCTTAAGATCCTTGCACGTTTGATGACTGCCAAATTCTTGCATACAGAAATCCGAGAGAAGGGTGGTGCTTACGGTGGAGGCGCCAGACTCAGCCGTGATGGGGTGTTCACACTTTACTCGTACCGGTGAGTCGGCGCCGCCCCTCCCGACTCTGGCTCCCCCAGGCATCTGCAGGTCCCCCCATCTTACGTGTTGGGGTGAGCCTGTGAAGAAGCGTTTCCCCTTGTCTCTTGCTTCTTGGGCGCCTCCCCACACCCAGCAACATCGTCTCATGGTCAGTGCCTACGAGCAGCGGTACGTAACAGGAACTTTGGCCTCAATGTTTACCTGTTACCAAACACCAAGATTTAGTTACAGACAAGCCGAGAGCTTCGCGGGCTCCTGTCGGGTCCAGTGTGGGTGCTGGGTGCTTCATTGTCACGACCCCTGACTCTTCTCGCCTTTTCTAGAAGGCTTCTGAGTACATGCCTTAGAATACCCCAGGGGCGGGATGAGGCTGCCGCCCCCGACGCAGGTCACGTCCTGGGACCTTTAGAGGACGCGTCTGCGCCTGCAGGACAGGAGCACGGCTGTGACCTGTACCTCCGCGGCACCTGCGGGGGCACATGCTGCCGTGAGCACAGCAGGAAGGAAGGGTGTCCGGGCTCGCTGGCCCATATGTGGGGGGTTATGTGTCTATTCTGGGTGCGTCTGAAGGAAGTGAGGCGTTTTACTCTTAACTTCTGCACCTGAGTCTCCTTCCCTGTCTGACTTCCCGTGTCCGTGAAATCGGGTGCATTTAATCTGTGGTGAAGTAGGTCATGGGTGTCTCTGCCCTTCTAGGGATCCACGTTCAACAGAGACGCTGCAGTCTTTCTCTGAGGCTGTGGACTGGGCTAAGGCAGGGAGGTTCACGCAGCAGGACATTAACGAAGCAAAGCTTTCTGTTTTCTCCGTCGTGGACGCCCCCGTGGCTCCTTCAGACAGAGGTATTTGGAATAAGCAACAAACCACCTGAGAAGTGGTGTTGCCCAAGCCCCTGCCCTGAGCTCCTCTGAGCTGTGTGCCTGTCCTCAAACCCCTCCGACCCTCCTTTAGGATGCGTAGACATCCCCCTTGAGCTTCTCAGCACCCAGGCTGGAACACTGCGTGTTGGCCACTCACAGAGTGTGGAATCCCGTCCTCTCAGAGCTTGAGTGATGGGAGGCCCAAGGGGCCCCAGGAGCACCCCAGGGCGGGTGGCCCGAGTCTGGGGGAGGAAGCCACTCTGACTTGGCCTCCACACCCGAGGGGGGAGGCTGGATGTGAATGTGAAGGTCACCAGCGTGACTTCTGGGTGTGTGTCCCTCGGGTGCCCTTAGAACGGGCTCAGCTGCCCCTGCCAGCCGCTCTGAGTTTCCATGTCCATGGTCAGGGCTGGACCACTTCCTGTGTGGCCTCTCGGATGAGATGAAGCAGGCGCACCGGGAGCAGCTCTTCGCCGTCAGCCGCGAGGGTCTCATCGACGTGAGCACCAAGTAAGTACGGCGTGGCCCAGTGTTCAGGGCCCCCCATGTGGGAAACACCCTGACGTATCCCCGCCTGCCTTCCAGGTACCTTGGCGTTGGGAAGAGCACACATGGGTTGGCTCTGCTCGGACCAGAGAACGCAGAGATCGCTAAGGATCCGTCGTGGATAGTAAGATAGCGAGCAGTTCTGACTGTACGCAGGGGTTGAGCGGCACTGGCCGGCAAGTGAGGCTGCTGAAAATGAAGCCTGAGCTCATTTAGTTGGGAAGGTGAGAGAAGTTACTGGTTCCCTGCACATTTTGCTCACATCATTCTTAAAATTTTGCGTGGCCCAGTTAGACCAAGCTCTTCTGTCCTCGAAGGAAAGATCATGAAGAAATGAATTGAAATCATCATGTATTAAGTGCTGGAGATGCACAAATTATTCTAAGAAATGGATATGTTTATTTTACCTGGAACACTTAACTTATTTTTAAAACGTAAAAATAAAAGACAACTCTGACCTGACCTACCTGTGATTTAGTCATTATTTTAAGTGACGTTTTGCTAGAGAAGTTCTTGGGGCCTTTACTGAAAAACAAGTGAACTGACTCTTGATTTGTGAAACCGGTGTGGTCACACCACAGATGCTGGGGAAGTCTGTAACAGATGGGCAGCCTGAAGGATTAATAAGCACATTAAGCTTCTCCCACTGTCTTTGGGGGAGGGAGCATCTGCTGGCTCTCGTGGCCACGCCGCCCTCAGGTCCCTGATGGAACTCGACTCTGCAGCTCCCTGTGCCCAGGGAAGCCAGGGTCTCCGTGTCCCCCTGGCTGGGAAGGCCCGCGGCCCTATGGGGCCCTCCCCTGGATCTCCCCGACACAGCGATGAGTTTCCTCGGCAGGAGGGCCTCGGCCTCCATGTGCAGTGAGGCTCCAAACTCACCTTGTTGTCGAAACACTTCCCCAGTTCCTATTTTTAATTCTACCCCTGGCCTCACTCGAGTTGGGTCGCCCCACCTGGCTGGTGTCCAGTGCAGGGCCCTTCTGCACACTTGACAAGTTGCACCTCTACCGTGGGTCAGAGCGGAGCCTTTGTCCTTTGTGACAACTTTTTATGTGCAGAGGGCCTAGCTCACCCATCCCTGCCCATAAAACTGCCGGGAAAGCCTCGACGGTGGCTCACAGATCCCGAGGCTCTAAATCCCTGTGTAAAAAAATAGAGTACCACAATTGGGGTCGTAGCTCAATGTTTAATTCTACTGGCCACGCATGTGGTAAAGCAGGACAGTACGGAACACAGAACACAGCTTGTGCTGGAGTCTCGGGGCCCGAGGGGGTGGAGGAGACAGGACGGGGGTTCCGTGACTGGGCATTCACGTAGACGATACTCGCAGAAAAGTGCCGATAAATAACTTAAGTGCTAGAAAACCAGGCAGCAAATGGAAGTCCACTGCAGCGCGGGGCGGGTGGCGTCTAGATGGCGGCGGGCTCCTCGTGGCCTCGGTGGTGCACATGCTCCAGCTGGCCAGAGTCGGAGACCTCGTAGCTGGCCTCGTACTTGGCCAGGATCTTCATGAGGGGCCGCAGCTTCAGCCACCACTGCTCTTTGGGGATCCTGTGCCTGCGGACAGGAGGAGCGGCGGTCAGGATGGCCGGCCATGGCCCGGAGCACGGCTCTGGCATCGGGGGTGGACACGGCACTGGACGACGGGGCGGCTTTCCTAAGCTACGTGAGCCCACTCCATTATCTTCCCAGAGATCCCCCCCCTGCTCCTAAAAGGCTTGTCTAAGTTGATTTCCTGGAGCTACTTCCCGGAGTTGCTGGGCTCAGCAGTTAGGACCCCAACTCCAGCCGCGCATGGGGTCCCTGCAGGGCAGGGAGGGCTCCCCTGGCGACGGCTTGTTTACTTACTCAAAGTCGGTTTCCTTCTTCAGCTCTGTCACCGGTTGGAAGAAAAGATTTCTTTTGCTTATTCCCAGCACGCAGATGGAATCATCGGTCACAAATCTTTTTCCTGTAAAAGATGGAAAAAATGATGTCAGAACAAATAATCGGGCCTGCCAGGCACAGGAGAGGTGCGGGAGAAACGGAGGCTTGCCGGCGGCGGGGGGGGGGGGGTGGGGCAGAGAAGAGCTGCAGCGGGAAGCCAGGCCCCGCACTACCCGGGGCCTTCAGACGAGGTGGGGGTGAGGCCCAGGGAACTGCCGCACAACTGCGCTTCCTCGGGGGCTGTGGGCACCGCTCCGGTACCGCTGAAGCCCTGGGACTACAGATGGAGGGCAGAGAGGAGGCGCCCGGGGCCACAGCGTGGCCCCTCTCGCTGCACACTCACACCCAGAGGGGCCGGTGACCTGCCCTTGGCAGCGCCCCCAGAGCTCAGGCCGGAACGTGCTTCCAGGCGGTGAGCAGGTGTCTCACTGCACACGCCGTGGGAGCACCCGCTCCCTCCGCACAAAGCGCCGGCTCCAGTGACCTAGCACAGGAAGCCTGCGCTCCTGAGGGACATGGGGGAGGCTGCAAGGGCAGGGGAGGAGCATCCTCAGGCCAAGTGAGAACACCCAAACCTTGAGGCAGAGTCAGCTCTCTGAAGACTAAAATGAGGCTGGATCTGTTTGCCTCGCTGCTTTTTAAGTCAAGGGTTGGACGTAAAACTAAACACACAGACTGGTCAGGGCAACAGTGGTGAGGTCAGGACGCGTCTGCAGTAAAGGGGGCTAAGCGTGCCACGGGAGCCAGGACATTTCCTAGAAAGCAGACTGAAACTGATTACAGAGCTGCTTTGTTGTTTCTGGAAACATTGGAAACTCTGAAGTCCACTCTCCCAAGGGAAGCAGGAGGCCCGACGCCGTCCCAGGGGAGTTGTCAGGCGTCCAGAAAGCAAAATACAACTGCCGTCTCAGACTCTTCTGACAGGGACAGAACAGGAGGGGAAGTCTCTGGGGCAGGAGGCCATCACGGGAGACGGTGCAGGAGCCGCACACAGACCCCCCCCCCACCCCCACCCCAGGAGGCAGTGCACCCTGGGAAGCAAGGTTGGGCTCGACAGCAGCTCATCAGTTAAAGGAAGTGCCCACCTCGGTCAATGCTAAAGGGTGTACGGGTATCCCCCACTTTCACAGAAGACCTGCACTGGTACCTGTTTCCGCCAACTGAAAGGAATCCAGAGAGGATTTTCAGTTTTACAAAAAAAAAAAAGGCGAGAAGCAGCGAGATCCTGGGGGCAGCGGGAGTGGCGCCACCCCGCACCTTCCCTGGGAACTGCATGCGGCGTCTGCATATGGAGCTGCCTGGGCTGTGCCTGCGAGCGCCCGGCTCAACCTTGATAAGCCTCCTGCGTCCGTGAGCAGTGCATGTGTCCTGAGGGATTCTGGGGGCCTGGGGATGCTCAGGAGTCTTTCTGTGTGAATTAATGGCTTCGTCATGCCATTCTGGCTCATGAAATGGTCTTGTGACATAGCGAAGGAAACCCAAAATATCCTTTTGTGATCAAAAGACTACGTAACAAACACCAGCATCACGATCCCCAGTTTCTCACAGACCTACGGGTGTGACCACCAGAAAGACCTCCGTTAAATAACAACACTGGAAGCATTCCCCGTGCCACCAGGGCTGAGGCCTGGACGGGAGCTCTGCTCTCACTGCACCTCTTCGGGATTTCTCTGGAGCAACACCCACCCGCCCACAAGTAGCAAGGAAGAAGTAAAAGGTTGTATACGGGACGGGCATACGTCCATGGCTGTGAGAAACAAAACGTCCACAAATAAGGGCTGGAATTCAGTGTGTAGGAAGTTGTGGATTGCAAACTGTGTACAAAAATTATGTTTCCACAGGCCAACAATAAAGAAAAATACCACTTACAACACATTTTTTAAGACTTCAAGTCAGGAATAAACTTAGCAAAAGACCTGCAAGATCTACATGCTTTCATAAGAGATAAGGAAAGGCCTGAATATATGGAGAGAGAGTCCATGAATTAGAAAATATTTTTAAGGGACGCCTGGGTGGCTCAGCGTTTAAGTGTCTGCCTTCGGCCCAGGGTGTGACCCCAGGGTCCTGGGATCGAGGTCCGCATCAGGCTCCCCGCAGGGAGCCTGCTTCTCCCTCTGCCTGTGTCTCTCCCTCTCTCTGGGTCGCTCACGAATAAATAAAACCTTTAAAAAACAATATTTTTTTAAATGTCAGTTCCTCCTGCAAATAATTTGTTGATTTAAACATAATTCCCTCAATCAAAACATCCAACAGAGTTTTTGGAGGACCGTGACAGTCTGATTCCATTTCTGCGTCGGCACAAAAGGCCAAGAGAAGCTGAAACCAGAAGCAGCCCCGGGGGAAGGGCCTCGCCTTACCAGCTATCAGGAGTCATCTACAAGGCTGGGATACTGACGATCAACACTGATGGCCCAACCATGAACCCCGCAACCCAGCTCGTCCCGCCAAGTTCACAGGTACCTGGTCTGTGGAGATTAGACTTCTCAACAAATGGCTCCCAAGTAAGGGATCATCCACATTAAATCAGACCTCAGACTTCACATCAAGTGGATCAAAGTAGTAACGCATCCAAGTGTTTTGGCAGAAAAGAGCTCAAACCACAAAGAAAAACGTTCACCGTCTACAGAAAGACTGAGAGGACGTCACTAGGAGATGCCCTGCACAGCACGACCAGCCCCACGATGCCCGTCTGCACCAAGGAGGGAGCAGAACATGAACCACAGAGCAAGCTTCCGCAATCAAAATACGGTTCAAAAGCAAGAAAAAGTCAATAAGGTAAGTGTTCGCAGGCAACGGAAAGGTAGGCAAAATGCCAGCAGAGCTCACGGGAGCAGCAGAGCCTGAAGGCAGCCTGAGGGCAGCTGGCTTTCCCTCCTCACTCTGGAAGGTTCCCCTCAAGGCCACGGTGAAACTGCCACGTCACAGCGACAGCCCGAAAGGACGGGTCACGTGGTGCCTGGACAGGAGGAGAGAGGCTGCACTCCCCATGGTGGGCCTGTGCGCAGGGCAGGGCTCGGGGCGGCTGACCCCCGCGCCCCAACACCAGCCGGGCCCCAATGCCCTGCATAGGGACTGCGCCCGGGCTTCCATACACCTAAACACACACCCGCTCAGGCGTGGGAGCCTGCCGAGGCGTCGCCCAGGCAGCAGGGCTACAGGGTGGCAACTTGGAGGCCCCGTGGGCCGGTGGGGTAGGAGGGGGGTGGAGGGTACCACACAGACATCTGCCAGTTCCCGGGTGTCTCTGAAAAGAAGGCTCCCTGTGTCTGTCCAAGGTGCCGCCAGGGAGACCCGGGTAGGGGCAGCATCCTCCCGGAAAGGAGCCCCGCATGCAGCTACCTGGGCCCCACAGAGCAGGAGCACAGCACGGCCTCGGCCCAGCCACTCACGCCTAGGGGCGGCCTAGATGGAGGGTCACACAGCAAGTGCAGTCGGGCGGCGGTGTGCCACGTGCAGCCCGGGCCTGGGTGCGTGCCCACAAGGAGCTCCCCAACACCCCACACAACCGCCAGTGTGCCGCGTGCAGCCCAGAACTGGGTGCATGCCCATGAGAAGCCCCCCCACCCCCCACCTCACACGGCCCCGTACCTTTGCCCGGAGACTCCTTCAGTTTCATGCTGATCCACTGCATGGCTCTGGCGGAGATTTTGGTTCCGAAGTTTCTATCGAACGGTGAGGGCGCTCCACCCTGCAGGCGGTCAGTTACGGAGGTCAGCGCCGCGCCCGCCCGCCCGCCCCTTTTGCAGATTGCGCTGGGAGGTACGTGCACTTAACACAATTCAGGTCACACGCTTAAGAGACTCCACTCTAGACAGCGGTGTGGGGGTTCTGGGTTTTTGTTGTTACTCGTCTTCCCTGCCCTTCCACCGTTGGGGCCTGCAGCTGGAGCTCGGCCCGAGGCCTGCATCCCTGTGCTCGCCCCCCACCCCCCATCTGCACCCCTGGCAGCTTCATGGCTTCCAATCGTCCGTCAGGGTTTCTTCGTCTCATTTTGGGGGGGGAGCCGGTCCCGGTTTCCATCAGGTTCTGACCGACCTGGGGGCTAGCCCCCACAGAAATACAGACACCCACCATCTCGGCACACACTGGGAGCTGGGGCCCTGGGAGCACACGAGCCGACCCAGGACGGCGGGGCTGGGAGGCAGTGCTGGCACCAGGACGGGCCTGTCACCCTCGCCCGCTGCCGGCTTTGTGGTCCGCCAAGCACCCCCAGAGCACTCCGATGGTGTGCAAACCTCAGGCGTCACAGTCACTAAGGCCCACTATCCAATGACGTACCCAATTCGATCAGGTTTCCCCAATCAGCGGGTGTCAACTCTACCCGTCGATGCTTTGCCTGAAAACTGCCCACCCGCCTGCACACAGGATTTGTAGGGCTGGGGAGTGGGGCGGGACTGTTAAACGGAACCGTAACGGAGCAAAGCAGATGCCGAGGTGACGACGACCGTGTCTCCCACACCGACGCTCCCCGGGGCTAACAAGACCTCCCACCAAGCGCCTGGGACGGGCCGCACCTGCTGCATGTGGCCCAGCACGTTCTTCCTGCAGTCAAACACGCCCTTGCCCTCCTCGGAGTACAGCTGGTAGATGAAGTCCGTGGTGTAGTTCTCACTGCAGCTCTCGTTCCTGCAGGGAGCACGGGCACGGGCCGTCGGGGGGCGCCCAGCCGGCCCCACGCCCACCCGACTCCACCGCCCTTCCTTGGACATGCCGGTGCCTCAGAGAAACGACTTGGTGTAGCCTTAGCAGCAACTACGAAGCGACCCTGGACTCCTCATTGTACCGTGTGGGTACGCCCGTGTACGCAGCCTGCAGCACTCTGTGCAACGGCAGCCCTGAGCCGGGCCCGGGAAGGGGCTCCGTGGGCGGGGACGGGGTGTCCTTACCTGAGCACGAGTCCCCTCTGAATGGTGGTCTTCATTTTCTCCGTCAGGTGCTCCACGTTGGACTGGGGAAGAGCAGGCATTCAGGTGGCTCGGCCTCATAGGTGCCACCCGCCGTGCTGTGTCCTCGGCATCTCGCCACCCCGGCAGGCAGGCCGCAGCGCTCCAGGGATGTTCTCCAGCCACCGCGGACCCTCCCACACGGACACCCATCCAACCCGCGTCAGCACGTGCCCCTCCACGCGGTGACAGGGTCACTGAAAGTGTGTGGAACTTGGTGCACCGTCACCCCCGTCGCCCGCCCCTCAGAGCCAACCCCATCGGGGCCTCAAGAACCCTCACACAGGGGCCCTGACGCATGGCCGTACCTGCAGATCTCGGATGTCAAACGGCTCCTCAAAGATGTAGGCGGCATCGGCTCCCGCGGCGAGCGCCCCCATGTTGGCCAGGTAGCCACAGTAGCCCCCCATGGTCTCGATGATGAACACGCGCCGCTTGGTCCCGCTGGCCGACTGTTTGATGCGGTCGCACGTCTGGCCACAGAGAAGGACACGGTCATGCCTCCGCAGGGGCGGCCAGGTACCGCGGCTGGGGGCCCTGCCCGCGGCTGGTGTGGTCACCGTCCCCGCGCCCTGACACCGCCTGCCATGGGGCACCCGCGCCCAGCTCACTCCAGCTGCCCTCGCAGCCTCGCGGGCACCCTAAGGTTTCACGGGCACGTCCCTTGGGTCGGTTTCTGAGAGCTCCCGGTGACCTGCGCTCTGGGCGCCCTCATCCTAACCCTAAACGCTACGTCCCGGAACGGGATGTGGCTCCTGCACACAGGCCCCCGGGGGTCTTCTTAGGAAACGCCCGCCACACAAGCCGGAGGGGGGCAGCAGACGCGGCCGTGCACCACCCTCCACCACCCTCCACCGCCGCACCCCTGCAGAGCACCGCGGGTGCTCCTGGGGCGGCCCACATCGGGCACCAGCTCCAACTGCAGCCTTGCTCTCAGCATGGGGGGCGGCGCCCCCAGACCGCCCGGTCCTCCTCCAGCAAGTGTGGCCACGGCCCTCAGTTACGAAGACCACCGCCGACCAAAGTCGCGGCACCAGGCGCAGCCCCGACCCACCAGTGGTGCTGGCAGGGGGACCTCTGGGGGACGGGGAGGACTCCAGGGCTGCTCATGTCCCTGGCCTGGCCCAGTCGGCCCCATCCACGGTGGCAGCCCCCGCCTCCCAACGCAGACACCCCGCGGCGGCAGCCACGGCTCTCCGAGCACGATGGTCCAAGCGTGGAGTCACGGTTCCAGCACTAACACATCATCACACTCGAGCTTTAAAGACACACACGACGAGATTAGGTGGAGCTTGGCGCGGGGCTAACGCAGAGCCCGTGGACCTGGACGTGAGGACGGGGTTGTGCTGAGCCCGGGAGCCCACGCTTAGCCCCCGTGACGGGGGCCTTCGCAACAAGTCAGCGGTCTGCTGAGCGTGGGGGCGGGGCGGGGTGTCCCATCTGGCCACCGAGACGCCCCCGGCGCAGCGCGACGGACACAGGGAGCCTCAGAGCGGGTGGATGCCTGGCACCTCACGGCACTCCGTGGCCACGTTGGCCACGCACACACAGGCAAGTCCATGGTCACGTGCGGGACCCACGGGAGCTGCTACCCTGGGGAGGATCTGGTGCAAGAATGAACAAAAGGCCCCAGGTGCAGGTGCCACATCACAGGGTAACGGCTGGGGCACCGGGCGCTCAGGACAGAGCTGTCCCCTCCCCGTGGTCCGGCTCAGAACCTCCACCTGGACCCTGGCTGCACACTTCCGGGCCTCTCCAGCCCCCAGGGCAAGCGCTGCAGGCTCTGCAGCCGGCCCACCCCTGACCACCTTCCCTCCTGTGTGTGTTGGGGGACCACACCCCAGACAGCCTCCACCCCACAACACGGACCCCAGCGACCAGGGGGCGCCAGCGGGGCCTGCCTCTGCCCGCACAGCCGAGGGTGCATCTGAGCCGCGGCCGCGCCTGTCCTCCAGAGAACTTCCCCCTCGGGCCTCTGGACACCCAGGGCGGGCTAGCTGCCCCCCCCTGCCGCATGAGCAGCCGCCTCAGGCCGCAGGAGACCCCCCAGGGTGCTGGGGGCCCTCCGCCTTCCAGCCGCCCAAGTCCCGCTCAGCACCAAACGGGGCTCGCTCCTTGCACGGCGTCAGGCGGGCCAGCTCCGGCCGTCCTCACGGGGCGGGAAGGACCCCGAGCAAACGAGGCAGCGAGGGCCCGCTTACCTCCATCACGACATTGAGGCTAGTGTCACAGCCCAGGCTCAGCTCCGTGCCCGGACGTTGTTGCTCATGGTGGTGGGCAGGATGCACACGGGCACGCAAAACTCCCGGTGCTGCTCGCGCGCCTGAGCCAGCAGGAGTGAGCTCTCGAAAGCCTGGAGCGGCGGGAGGCCAGTCAGCGGGGCGCCCCGGGGCTCCTGGGAGGTGGGAGGTGTCTGGGGGGGGCTCCCGGGGGAGGCGGCGCGAGCAGGTGGGCAGCAAAGCAGGGGCCGGAGGCGGCCGCCGGTCCTTGGCGTCTGGGAGGTGGGCTGGGGCCGTCAAAGGGCCCGGGAGCCGCGAGCCTCTGTGCTCCCCAGGCCCCCAGGACCCCTGCCGCCCGCGACGCCAAGGACGTGGGATGTGGCCATGCGCAGGCCGAGGTTAGTGGAAGTGCTCATTAGTGTCCGCCCCCCACCATTGCCCCGCAGCCACGCGCGCCCCTCCGCTCAGGACTCCCTCCACCCCTGCCCCAAGCACCGGCCCGCTGCGGGGCCACACACAGCTGGAGGCGGAGCCGGCCTCGGGAGCATGTGCTCCCCAAACACCCCGCTCCTGGGGCAGTGGCTGGGGCGGGCCTGGGGGCCTGTGCGGGTAGTGCACAGAGCGGCCAGCACCACGCAAGGGGGCGCTCCCTGGCCCCTCCGTCCGCGGCCGCGCGTGGAGCCCAGGCGGGCAGGAGGCTGAGCCCGGGAGGCCAGCGGCAGCTGGCACCTCCGAACCCGGGTTAAAACCCCAGGAACGCCCTCCGTCCTGGTTCCTGTTGCTCCTCCTCCTTCCCTTCGATCGGGAAGCCACCGGGCCCTCCTGCGGGGACGGGACAGCCTGCCAGGACGGAGCCGGCACCAGGACTGTGGCCCAAGGCCCGGGGGCAGCAACGCACGGCTCGGAGCTCTGAGCGCACAGCGCATGGAGGCAACAGGCCCCACGGAGAACGACCCTGACTCCAACTCCCCGCGCTCCTGACCCGGGCCTGCCAGCGGGGCGGCAGCCACCCTCTGGCATTCGCGGCACCTCGGGCTCGGCATGGACTGGGACGCATCATGCCACTTCTGGGGACCCCAACGCAGCCGTTGGGGGACGGCTCTCTGGACCCCTGCTCCAAGGGGCCGGGCCCGCAGCCTCCACAATGTACAACACACACAGAGCTCCATCCATTCTGAGGGACACCGGGAAGCGGAGCGTTCACACTGGCAGAAGGAAGTCACCCGTGAGGACAGTGACGGAGGAGCCCAGGAACGCGACAGTCCCTGCGGCAAGGCCACCTCCCGGGGCCTTGGCACTGCGGGCGGCAGGGCCATGCTGGGTCGGGGGCCAGCATCATCGCTCGGCATCGCCAATGCACCCCGGGGGCCAAACCCAAACACCACTGGTGCTCGGCCCTCAGCACGGCCACATCTGGACATGAGGCCACAGGCCCGCGGGTGGCCCATCTGGGAAGGAGGTCCTGAGGGAGGCACACAAACCCACGGTGAACTCACTCTGGCCCCTGGTCCCCAAGGCCCTCTTGGATCCTGTGGAGCAGATGGGGAGGGACGTGGACCGCCCAGTGACCCATCACCTCAGTCCCCTGGGGCCAGCCCTGCCGGGTTCCAACCCAGATCCGAACCTCCTGAGGAAGACGCACCTTCACTGCGGCTCATAAAAACACAACCCTGCAGGAAACCAAGGGATGTGCACACACCGTGCCTGCACCAGGGTCCCTACAGCACCAGGACCATCTCCCCACGCTCAGCAATGGGCACCCAGGCTCCCACCCAGGTCACCCCAGGTCACAGGCAGGACCCAACGGTGTGCACACGCCATGCCCACATCAGGGCCCCTACAGCACCAGGACTGTCTCCCCACACTCCGCAGCGGGCGCCCAGGCTCCCACCCAGATCACAGGCAGGACCAGGACCACGGTGCCGGGCAGGTCACCCGTGGGCTTGGGGCTTCGGCGAGCACCTACTCGCCCAGTGAGGGTGGGCCTGGCACCAGCACCTACACAAAGCTGCCCACTATAACTGGGTAACTGGCTTTGAGCAACTCCGAGGAGAAACCAAATTCAAGACATCACAGGACAAATTTCCAAAAACCTCCACGGGAAGCAAGGCACCAGGATCACTTCGAGCTTCCCTACATGTTTCGGTTTTCAAATTTTGAGCAACACCCATGTATCCAATCTTTATAACCTGGAAAACATGTCTCGTAGCGGAGGAGCCTGGCAGGTGCCAGAGAGGGCGCGTCGGATGTAGCAGGGAGACGAACACCAGCCGGGGCCAGGGCCCCAGACAGCCCCCCAGGCCCCACCCGCCCCGGGGGTTCCAATCAGGTGACAACGAGGAAACACGAACTTCCACTTGCTTCTACTGAGCGTAAGCAAACTCCAGCCAAGGGCAGAGGAAAGGGCAGTAAAGCACTGGTGAAGGTCACAGACAGTGAGGGACGGACATCGACCCTCCCGTGGCAGGTGCAGTTGGTCAGGAGCGGAATCGGCTCACGGTGGCCAGAGCAGGAGCAACAGTCACCAGGACGGGGCGCACGGTGGCCCAGCAACGGGTTAGTGGTGCCAACAGGGCAGCTCCAGCGGTGGAGACCCCGGAGACACGGGGCAGAGCTTTTTAGTAAAGAAACCACAGAAAGTTTAAGGAGCACAGAAAAGCGAAACAGCACAAAACAGAAAAACGCAAGCGTGAGGCATTCCTTACCATTCGTTTTTTATTTAAAAAGCATTTCTTTTATGTACCGGCACTAGAGACAGGTTTGAGCCCACAGGGTCAAGGAGGAAAATCCGAGAGCAACATTCACAAGAAAAATACTGGGGAATCTGCAGCAAAAGTTCAAACGCCAGATTATAAAGAAGAAGAAACGTGCCTGAAGCTCCCGCGCCATCTCCACAGCGTGGCCTACACGCGTGGTAACACGGGCCGGGTCTGTCCTGCTACTGCCCTGTGGCAAGACACAGGATGGATGTCATGGGGACTCAGGTCGGTGAACAAAGTCACAAGATCTCAAACGTCCATGCACAGCCATCAGACCCAGGATTTATCACAATAAATCACATCATGGGAGTGAAGTGAACTTGGCCCCAACAACAACAACAAAAAAACTACACTGACTTTAACGAGTATTCAAATCACAAAACCCTAATACACAAGTACTTGAGCTATAGATGCTCCCTGTCATTCGATGGGCCTTAGCGGGCACACGGCATCTTGGCCGCGGGGCAGGAGAAGAGGTGGCAAGAAGCCACAGCTCTGGGCATTGGATTCAAATCATCAGGCTTTTTTTTTTTTTTTTTAAAGACCTTTCTGGAAACAGACCCAGGTGTCACTCCGGTCTCTAGTGCGCTGGCAGATAAAAGCGGGCCAGGCGCCCTCGGGTTAGTGTCTGCGGCACCTGCTTTGCTGGCCACGCCCACTTACGTCAGTGATGGTGTTCAGGGCGGTGTCCGCGCCAATGCTGAAATCGGAGCCGGGCACGTTGTTGGAGACAGTGGCTGGGACCATCACCATGGGGACACAGAACTCCTCGTACTTGTCGCGGGCGGCTGACAGCTCCAGCAGGCCCAAGTAGGCCTGTCAGCCAGTGTGCAGGGGTGGGGGCGGGGGGGGGAGGTGGGAGGGGTGCAAAGGGGCCGTTAAAAACACAGTAAGGCATTAGGGTCACAGGGAAGTGACACCATGTCTCCTGTCCGCAAGGGTCGTGTTATTGGAGGTCCTTAACGTTTTCTTCAAAGCAAATGGGAAAGTTACTATGGGACCGATCTTGGTTAAATAGACCCGTTAAGGAGTGGGGTCCAACGGGCACAGGACGCCCCGCCCTGTCCCGGCTCCGGGCCTCAATTGCAGGGGGACGCCCGTTCCTGCCCCTGGAAACGCCACAGAACATGCCGGGCGGGGACGCACTGGACGGGGGTCCCACTCTGGCTCCCAGGTCAGCGGCTGCCACCAGGGGACCAGGGGTGCCCCCACCCCACCTGGAAGCCTACACACAGCTCACCCCAGCCCTCTGGTCCTAAGGGACCTGTGGGGGCAGCCACGGGGGATGTACCTCGAACCCGCCGATGATGAGCAGCGCGTTGATGCTGTGGGTGCGCATCTGCTGGGCGATGTCCTCCAGAAACTTCCCGGGCAGCGTGCTAGAGGCAGTTGGGGGGGACGTGAGACCGGCCAGCCCTGCCGAGGCCACCCCCGCCCCCGCCCCGGCCCGCGGTCCCCAGGAGCAGCGCCAGGGAAGCAAGGCTCTGCTGTATTCAAAAATCAATCGCTCCATCAATAAATGGGAAGAAACGCGCGGCAGCCAGACCTAAAAGAATCCTACTGCCTCATCGGGAAAGAACACAAACTGCACCACAACAGCGTGTGAACATTCCCAGTAACACTTTGAACGGAAACTTCCTATTTGGAGTCCGGTGCAAGCTGCGCCCACCTGAAGCCCCACGCGCTCCCACTCACGCCTCTCCTGCTCTATCACCTAGAACCATTGGCAGGGCGCACGCGTAGGGACCAGCAGCCGCACGTGGGGGCGCAGGCGGTGGGGGGCCTGGGGCCCGCGGTGCACACTCCTGCTCCCAAGGGAGCCTGCAGCCCACACAGCACCCCGGCCAGGCTCTGCGGGGCCCTGCTGCACCCACCATGGGGCCTGCACTGCCCCAGCGGTCAAGGACCCCAGGAGGACAGCCCCTACATCGTGGGCCTCATCTCTGCCCCAGGGCGCACCTCAGGGACCCCCCAAGCACGACCCAGGGCTCTGGGGGGGTACTGGCCCGGGAGCCCATGCCAGAGCCCAGCCCTTCAGGATGCCTTCCCAGAGCGAACAGGCGCAGCTGCTGGTCTAGGACGGGGGGGACCCCCCTTCCTGAGCACGGGGCAGGATGGACCCGGGGATTTACCGTTTGGTCCCGAGGATGGAGCCTCCTTGGCCGGTCCAGCCTCCGACATCCCCCCAGCCGATTTCCTTCACCTGAGGAGCACACACACGGTCCGACGGGAAGCGACCAACGAGATACCCGCCCCTATCGCGAGGCTGAGCAGCTCCGGCGGCCCCGGGGTGAGGCCCGGCCCCCACGTCCCGCCGTGCACAGCAGACCCAGGTGTGGCCATGCTCTACCCGTGGGAATCAGGTGCGTCTTGGTTGACGTAAGAGACCCCCCTTCAATAAGGCTGGAGGAGACGAGAGGGACCCAGCGGCAGCCAGCCAGGTGTGCACCCGTGCTCCTGGTGCTCCTCCTGCCTCGCTCCTCAGGGCGAAGGTCTCATCCTCCGACCGGCGCCCTGGGGGTGCCCTCTGCCGATTCCCCCCCAGCTCCATCTTCGGCCCATGCTCCCTACGGCCCCACTGCTCCCCCGGACGCCTCCCCCAGGCCATCCCGCGACCCCTCCACCTGTCCCCATCCTGCCCTAAACCCTCTGTGTTCCCCGAGCAAAAGCTAAGTCCGCCCAGTCACCTACAAGCCCCCGCCCCTTCCACCTCTCCCCTGCGCCCCCCAACCCCCCGCTGCTGGGCCCCCTGAGCCCACCATCCCAACCCCAGCGCCCTGGCGCTGCCTCCGCCCTGCCGGCACGCCCTCGCAGCAACGGGCTCGGCGCCTCCGTCCCCAGCCTGAGACCCCCTTCCCAGGGGCGTGTGTCTGAGGGTCCCAGAGCGGACCCTGCTCTGTGCCCCGTGGGCGCTGGCCCTGCTCGCCGCCCACACCCTGTGCTCCGCCTCCCGAGGCTGCACCCCCGCCCGCAGAGGGCGCTGTGCTTTCTCCCTGAGCCAGCTTCCGGGGCATAAGGACTCTGTGCACTGCCGGGAGGTAAGACGACCTATGTTGTCCCACGGGGCACGCTGTGGCACACGTGAACCCAGGTCACGTTCACCAGTGTCTCTGTGCCTCAGTTTCCACGTAAGGAGAAGGGGGCTAATACTGCAGGTTTACTGTGAGATTTCAACGAGTTAACGTGTGCGCATCCTGCAGGAGCAGGAAGTGTATGCAGTAACCGCTCAACATGCATTTGTTCGCTTTTTCCACCAAAGCTTCTGTCCGAGTGCTTGCTGGCCTCATGCGCTTGGCCTGCAGCGTCCCAGGTCCCCCCCCCCCCTAAGGCCGGAGCCCACGAGCCCCGCTGCCTACGGCTCCTGGAGAAAACTGCGTGGCGCACTCCACGCTGAGCGTCAGGGCAGGGCCCAGGACGCGGCCCCAGACAAGTCATCCCCGAGGGCAGCAGCTATGTTCACCACCCGACGGAGCCCTGGTGTGAGGCTGGGAAGGCAGCTCCTGTTTCCCGCGACGTTCCCGGGGGCCTCACCTGGCCTTTGGCGAAGCCCTCAAAGCCGTCGTAGATGGCGAGCATCTTGTGGCCATCGGCGATGCCCACCCGCACGGCCGAGCGCACGGCGGCGTTCATCCCGGCGGCGGGCGCCCCCACGTTTATGACAGCCACGTTACAGTTGCTCTGCAAGACGAGAGGGCACGCTGCGTCCCCACCCCACGCCCCGGGCGCATGCTGGGCAGACGGCCCGGGAGGCCGGGGGCGAGGGTCTGCGGAGAACACGGTGGGGGGGTGTCCCCTACCTTCACAATCTGATCATCCGGAAACTTGATGGCAAGCCGCTTGTAGGTGTTCAGGTTGGTCTCGAAGCTCCTGGAAGGACAGGGCGCCGCGGGCCCGAGGTTAGAAGGGCTCCCCTGGGAGGTCACCTGAGCCAGATGCAGACAGTCCAGGCACCTGCCAGGGGCGCTTGGGGCAAGCAGCAGGCCCTGGCGTCACCCCGCGCCAAGGCCCCAGTATTCTGTTAGATAAGGAGCGTGCTGTGTACGCGGCCGAGAAACCTGGTCTCTTGTACACCCGAGTGTCTCTCAAAACGCCATCCTTGGGCGACTTTCCATTGTCACCACGCTAACCTCTCCTCCACCCCACCGGCCAGAACAGAGACAGCAAACCAGCGCGTGCCCCCGACTACCCATCGCGTCCCCGCGGCCAGAAGGGGCGCAGCCCCGGAGCATGTCTCAGCGGCCCCGCAGCAGCAAAGGCCCCAGGGACGCAGGGCCCTGCAGAAGGTCACCTGCCGCGGAGCCGCACGGCATCCTTGAATCTCCTCTCGTCCATGGCCTTCTGCACGTCCTGGGTCTTCAAACAAACATGCAAGAGAGACTGTGTCAAGGCTCAGATGCCCGTGGACGGGCCACTGTGCTGGCCGCCTCCCGCGCACCGACCCTCCAAGGCCGCCAGCCCGACACCTGCCACTGCCCGGCGGCTGCCAGGGACAAGCCAGGCCCACCCGGTTCAGGCTGCTAAGAGGGATGTGAGGCCGCGGCCAGCAACGCCAGGCGGGAGGTCCCGGATCCACCTCCCGCCCCACCTTGGGGGCCGCCCGGGTCCTGGGGAAGCTTGCGGAAGCCCACGTGGCACCGACCAGCCACAGACTACGGACAGGACGGCGAGCGCGTGGACGCTGCAGCTCACCATCTGCACGCACTCCACCAGGGGCAGGCGCACCGCCTGGTTCCCGCTCAGTGACACCACGCAGGCCGGCGTCTCCGGGGTGGCCTGGAGGAGGGCGACCACGGCCTCCACCCCCATGCGACTGGCCTGGAAAGGACAATCGCGAAGGTCACAGACGGGGTCAAAGGCCAAGGCAGCAACACCCCCACACCCGGCCCCTGCTCCACAGACGCACGACCGCCCCCTCAGCAGGTGCATCCGTGGGCGGAGGCCTGTCCCCCGTTACTCAGCCAGACTCCAGCTGCCTCCCTGCCTCCCATCCTCCTGGCCTGGGCCTCTGCTGACCCCAGGGCCTGCGTGCACAAACCACACGGGGGCTCTGTTCCCGGGGTCCCGGCCACCCTCGGTCCCCGGGTCTGGGGTCTCCCTGCATCTGCTAGACTTGGGGCCGGGCGGCGTCCGCACATCCTGGATGGGCCACCCCAGCACAGGCACAGACTGTCCCCTCTCGCCCCCAGGGAGGGCACCTGACCATTTGCATCCTCACCAAAATCCGGTCAAAGGCCGAGGGAGTCCCTCCTCTCTGCACGTGCCCAAGGATGGTCACCCGCGTGTCGTATCCCAGCTGTGTGACCACGAGCTGTGGAGACACAGAGCTTTAACGCAGGGGCTCGGCTCGCACAAGGGGGCGAGGGGCAGTCATCCTTCCCCTCCCCCTCCTGCTTCCCACTGACGTGGAAACAAATCCTATTTTCCAATCTTCACTTCCTAGAAGGTTTAATGTTGAGCTTTTCTTTTTCTTTAAAGAATGTCTTTATTACCAAAAAATAAAATCCTGGCCTGTCCTGCCTTGCAAACGAACATAAGTAAGGTGATCAAAAATAAAGAAACAGAGACGTCTCCCTGACCATCGCGCCGGTCTACCGCGGTGTCCCTCGGGCAGGCGCCACCAGCGGCTGGGCCCCCGTCCTCGCCTGTGTGTCTGTCTATCGGGAACGTGTGCCGTCGCCTGCCCAAGTGGACGGCCTGCCCCTGGGACCCTGCCCCCCGCCCCTCCGTCTCCCTAGGACCTCTGGGAATATTCGCGACCCTAAGACTCAAGCGGTTAAGAGTCCTGAGTCATTACAGAAGCATCTCCAAACCCCAGGAAGGACAGAAAGCGCTTTCGTGACGACCACACCCGCTCCAAGGGCGGACCCCGCGCCGCGGGAGGCTGCGTCCCCAGCTGGCCACCGTGAAGAACTGCAACCAACGGACACACTCACCTCCTTGATCTGCTCGGAGGTGATAGGCTTATTCTGGGTGTCTATGGCGCCCTCGGCCACAATGATGATATTCAGTCTCTTTTTCCGGGCACGGTTCTAGGAAAAGCAGAAAATGAGCCACCTCAACCCCCGAACCGTCTCCGTGACAGACAGGCCCAGGGCCCTTTGCCCTGGGCGAGCTGGCCTCTGTCCAAGGGGAAACCTTCACCGGATTTCGCAAGCGGGGTTTCCAACTACCTGGGCGGGTAGGTGGAGGCGGCGGGAGGGACACATGGCCCCAGGCGCGGCCGCGCTCCTTTGCCATCTGGCCCCAGGAGGCAGTGAGCTCAGCCCCGGGCCCCCGCAGCGCGTCTATACCACAGGCCAGGCCTCCAAGCTCCTCCAGCAGCCAGCGCAGCCCGCCACCCCCCTGCAGACCTATCCAGGAAGGCCGGACTTCCCAGCCCCTGCGGCCAGAGCACAGGGCCTGGGCGCGCAGGAGTCAGGAGGGTGGGGAGGGACGGCGGAGGGGCACACCTGCACCTGCACCTGCGCCCGCACCTGCGCCCGCACCTGCACCCACACCCGCACCTGCCACCCCACAGGCCCTGGCGGCCATCACCCAGGAGCGCCCAGAAATCCTCCTCGGCCCGTCTGCTCTCCATCACATCCCACGTCACAGCCCCTCCCGGCCCCTCCCGTGGAGGCGTGGGCCCCAGAGCGGCCAGTGCCTGAAGCTGTGAAGCTGCCCCTGCCCGTGGCACCCGGGGCGCGTCACCCAGGGGGTGGTTCCACGCAGGCCCACCCGGTGCCTCCTCGGGCATCACGCGCTCGCTGGTTTGTCTTTGAATAGACATAAACGTGGTCAACTTCGAAGAACTTGCCGGTCACAAGTATTTTCTAAAAGGTGTAAAGCTGTGGCTTCCAGAGTGGCTGTGACGTGTCCGTGAATGTGGGATGGGCCCCAGAGCTACAGCGTCCACACACCACACTCTCCGGAGGCTCCCAGAGGAACAGCGTCCTCTCCACCGCGTGGGAAGATAGGCCCCTGGCCCCACAGATGCCCAGCACCTAGACACCCCCCCCCCCAGTGCCCGGGGAAGCGCTCGGGTGGCAGCGGGACCCACGGCCCATGGGGAGTCAGGACTCGGACGTGGGGGACTGAGCCCAAATCCCGTCTGGGGGGTGAAGCCAAGACCAGCCCTAGGCCCGGGGCACCTACCCTCATGTGGAAATGCCCGGGACGTGGGGCGAGGGCCCGGGCCTGACAATATGTTCGGGAAGACTCGCAGTGAGCAATGAGAATTCATTACAGACGTGGTGAATTCAGCTGCTTCCGCACGAGGAGCCCGAGCCCTCCGCCTCGGCTCGGCCCACGCTCGGGGCAGGGGCACAACACACTCCCGCCGTCCCCGCGGACGGGAACGCACGGATCTGAAACCCACGGAGTCTGCAGATGAGACCATGCGGTCACAGCAACAACGGGCACCTAAAGCTCAGCTCCTAAACCCAAATAGGGTGTCGGCCCCGCCACCGTCCCTGACCTCCACCCTGTGTGCGTCCTCCCCCCGACCACCTCCCTCACCGAGTGTCCCCTCCCCCAACCCATACCCTCCCATCCCCCCTGCTCCACCATCGTGCACCCTGACCCCCGACCTCCACCCCTGTGCACCCCCTCCCCCCAGCTCCACCATCACGCACGCCCTCCCCCCCACCTTCACCCCCATGCACATCTGTGCAGCGGGCCTGTTTCCTCATCTCCGGGTGCTGCCTGCGGGACTTGGCCTGACCCCGGGGGCCCTGGACCAGGCCCGGGGGCATCACGGGGGCGGGAGGACAGCTGGCGGGCACAGGCACCGCCCTGGGGAATGGGACCACGGGAGCGTCCCTGCGACTGCAGACTCCGCACATATCCTCAGGCCACACAGAGGTACCGTCCAAGACCAGTGCCACCCCGTCAGGCAGCCACGGCCCCACGGTGGCCACCGGGGAGCGCTGCCCTTGTCCCCAGCCAGAACCACGACAGGACAGCAGCTTGAGCGCGTGGTCGGTGATCCTGGGGCCTGGGCGCGCGTGCCCTGACCCATCCGCAGCCGCCAAGCCTCGGCCCCAAGCACACGGGGCCTTCCAGCAGTTCCCCACCTCATTGAAGGTCAGCAAAGCTTTTCGGTACGTCCCCCAAACACCTCTCTTGGACCCTGTCACCTGGAAGGTGGTGGCAGGGTCTCCCGGCACGCAGAGCGCGTGTGCTTGCTGAATACGTCCGTGACTCGCCTGGGCCGCCCGCTGACAGACGGGAGCCGGGGCTTCTGCACCAGGAGCGAACCTCGCACACCCCCCAGGGAGCCGTCCCCCGGGAAGCCGTCCCCCGGGGACAAAGAGCGGGGCACACAGGCCGCCGCGGGCCACACACGGAGAGGCCTGGTCAGAGCCACGGGAACCCCACCCCACCTGACGCACGCCCGCCGCTGGGGACACGCGGGTAGCCAGGTCACACACACCCCACGACACCGCTCGGACTCGCTCCAGAACCGCAAAGTCTCCACCTGTGTGACCCTGAGCCAACGGGGAATCCCCCAGGCCGCCACGCGTCGTGGTCGGGCAGTGGGACCAGCAGCCCCGGCCGTCGAGGGACACACACGTTACCTCTGAGAGCTTGATGCACATGTTCTCTTGCCAACCCTCTTCTGGCGGCGATTCCGGGAGGAACACCCAGTCGGCGCCGCAGGCCAAGGCGCTCACCAGGGCGAGGTACCTGTCCGGAGCAGCAGTGGCCGTGTCAGGCTGCCGCCAGGAACCACAGCGCAGAGGCCACCGGAGCGACGCGCATCGGGGACCGTGGGTTCCACCGGGCGGCATCGGTGCTGTGGGGCGCAGGGCTCTCCAGGGGCCACGCCGAGGCAGCGACGCGTACGTACCCGCAGTGTCTCCCCATAACCTCGAGAACAAAGGTCCTCTGGTGGCTGCAAGAGAGACAAAGGAAACGTCCGTTTACCACCACGCAGCCCATGTGACAACCAAAGAGGCACGTGCTTTCCTCACCAGCTGTGCAGAAAGCCTGCCTCATGTCGGCGGCGGGCACCTGTGGGCCGTGGGCACCTGCCCCGTGATGGCACCTGGCCCCTGGGGACCGCGGGCACCTGCTCTGTGACGGCACCTGGACCCTGGGGGCCACGGGCACCTGCCCCGTGATGGCACCTGTCCCCTGGGGGCTGCGGGCACCTGCCCCATGATGGCACCTGCCCCGTGATGGCACCTGCCCCGTGATGGCCGTGGGCACCTGCCTGGTGATGGCACCTGCCCCATATGGGCCATAAGCACCTGCCCCGTGGTGGCACCTGCCCCTGTTGGCCGCAGGCACCTGCCCCGTAATGGCAGCACACAGCTGAGCATCCAAAGGGCCCGTTGTCTGCAAAAGCAAGCAGGTGCCACTGTGCTAGCATCTCGAGGTTGTATGGGCAAAGGGCCTCAGGGTTACACCCACCCAGCGTGTTGCCCACACGCGCTCACACCCCCGGGCACCCGCCGCATTGCTCAGCACACACAGGACAGCGAGCCGGCCGCCTCCGTGGCCCTCAGGCGCCGACAGCCACTGGATCACGGACAGGAAGCGGCGCTTTCCCCGCGCCCGCAGTGTCCTCGAGCGCCCACCGAGCCAGGCCCGGAGCCATGGCCGGCCTGCTGTTCCCGTGGGGACCTTGCTGGGGTCCCATTGGGGTCGTTTTTTCTAAAGTTGGGGGTAGGAGTAACTTTTTAAGTCGAAAATAAAAGTCAACAGGAAACAGTTTTCTAGCTCTGGTTTCGGAACTTCAGGAGCAACGCCGTATCCGATCACCCACCGGGGACGCCCGCGGACGTCTACACCGTGGCACAGAACATCCATCTGGGGAACCTCCTAGGGCCGACACGGACGTCCACACCACAGCACGTGTCAGCCCCATGCCCCTCCCAGGGCCCTGCATGTGCGTTACCTCTGGGCGGTGGTCATGATGGCGTCAACGACCTCGATGATCCTGTGCAAGGCGGAGTCGGTGCCGATGGTCATGTCCGTCCCGCAGAAGTCGTTGTCGATGGAGCCCACCATGCCCACGACGTTGAGGTACGCATGCTTCTGCACCTGCTCCTTGTCAATCTCGCCTGCGTGGGAAACGGACCCCGCGTGACCCGGAGCCTCCCCCCCCCCCCCCCCCCCCGGCAGCGGGCTGCTGAGCACTGGGCGGCGGCCGCCGGCCTGCTGTTTCAAACCACCTCGTTCTGCACATGTGGGGCGACGGGCGCATGGGGTCCTGACACTAACAGGAAGGAAGACCTGTCTGTGCCGGCATCGGGCAGCGGCCCGGGCACATGTCCCTCCGGGGAGGACGCAGCCCCGTCAGAGGGGCTCCTGGGGGCACGCGTTCCCGGCCACGCTGGGGCTGCTGGTGGCGGGGACATACCCGCCGGCTTGTGGCAAGGACTGTGCGGTTGTGGGTGTGCAATCGGGAGGGGCAGTCAGCAGGGCGCCGGGGGTGGGGGGGACCAGGGCCACCCGAGCCACCACGACGACGGCTGATGGCCACCTGCGCTCCCGGACAGACCCGGGGCTAGGGGCGACCGACTGCCTCTGCCTCGTTCACACCTGAACACGGAGGGTTCCGGGGCGGGGGGTGGCCCTCGTGGCCTGGCTGGTGACAGGGAACCCAACAGTGGAGCGCGACTGCATCTCCGCTCACATCCTGGCAACAAGCAGACACTCGGGAGCCCACGCACCCTCCCCTGGCCCCCCACGTCCCCGCATGGGGACCCCTGGGAAGCCTATCTCAGAGCACCGTGAGCACCACCCGGAACCGGGTCAGACAGGCGGTGCCCGGTGGGGAGCAGTTGCGCAGGACCCGCTGTTCCCGAGGCACAGAGTGCAGGGCCCGGAGAGGGGGGACTGGGCAATCGCGCCGTCCCCAGCACGTGCATCTGCGCAGTCGGCTGGGTGGATGCGAGAGCTCGGAGCTCTCTGGGGGCAACGGAGAGCCCACGGGCGCGACGCGCAGGCCCGGGCTGTACCGTGTTGGGCCAGCTCCTCCAGCAGCCCGCTCCACTCCTTCCGGAAAATGTTGGCTCCCGTGAGGCTCCCGTCCCCGCCGATCACGCACAGGTTGGTGATGCCCCGTTGAACCAAGTTACACGCGGCTTTCAGGCGACCCTCCCGAGTCCGGAAAGCTTTGCAACGGGCACTGCCGATAATGGTCCCTCCCTGGAAGACAAAGGACGTGGCGTTTATCAACCTTCCTCCTGTGGGACAGGAAGCAGCGGAGCTGGCACATGTGCCACCTGCAGGACCCGCAAAATCTGGGCTCCCCTGGGCCCATGTGTTCAGGTGTGGGTACAGCGGACAGGGGCTCGGCACCGGGCCCAGGACGTCAGGTAAACGCCAAGGAAGAGAGTCCGGAGGTGCCCCAGCCTCCCGGGGGGCCTGGGGTGGAGGTGGCCAGACCCCACCGCCTGGCCTCCCTCGGGCCCAGGTGGCACAGCCCTGTCTGCCAGAGCTCGCCATGCGCGCAGGCTAAGTGGGGACCTGGGAGCCAGAAGATTCCTGTTTGCCCAGGAGCCCCGCCCCCACCTCTCCAAGGCCAAGTCTCAGGAAAACTCAAGTCAGATCGCGCAAACTGCCGAGAGCGAGAGGCCAGGACTCCTCACACTTGCCCTTTCGATCACGAAAGATTCCTGGGCATTGGGAGAAAAGAGCAGGACCCTTCACATTCCCCGCGATGTGCTCACAAACCTCGGCGGTGCGTCTTCCTCCAAGGACACGCCCAGGTCGTAAGCAGGGGGAGCAGCGGGAGGGCCGTGGGGACAGTGGGTCCAGGTCACCAGGTTCACGGCCTGGCGTGCAGGCCGGTTCCCTGGATCGGACCTGACCGGGAGCCATCGGAGGGTCATGGGATTTCGCCCCACTGGAAGCTGCCCGGGCAGCTGTTGCACACCCAAGGGGTCACATGCTGGTGGCTCGGTGGGATGCCGCGGCTGAGGAAGGTGCAGAGGTTGCGGGCCTGTCCTGTGTCGCCGGGTGGGGACAGCGCCCAGCACAAGGCGGCCCCCCTCATGGGGTTTAGGGTCAGGACCTCGGAAGACGCCGCCCTGATGCTGGCATGTAGTGCTCCCCGCAGAGGCCTCACCGGCCAGTCTGCCTCCCCGGGAGGACAGGGCACAGGGGTCCAAGCGCAGGCCCCACCAGCTTACAGGGTACGCCCGCCATCACCTCCTGCGGGGTGACAGGCACCAGCTGATCCAGAACGTGCTGCGGGTCCGGGGGCACAAGGTGCCGGGTGCCCACGCCGTGACGGGTGTTCTCAGCAGCCGCATCGTCGGCCTTTCTGCCGTGGGAACGTCTAAGGCCTACGTTTTTAGCAACGTCCAAGGTCATAGTTATCGTGCAGCAGCGTGGACGTTCCCGAAGGTGCGAGGCATGACGATTTTACACTCGCCCTGTAGGGTGATCACCATGCTCCAACTTACGAGCTCGTCCGTCACCTTGGGCTCCTGTCTGTGTGTGTCGACAGCGAAGGTATTCTCAGCAACTTTCAAGAGTACAATGCGGGGTCCTTAACCGCAGCCGCCGCGCTGTACGTTCCAGAAGCTGTTCACCTTCTGCCTGAAGTTGGGGCCCGGAGTCCAGCAGCGGGTCCCTGTCTGCACCCCCCCCCAGTCCCCGGCAGCCACCGGCGTGTCCTGCTTCTGAGCTGAGCTTAGGTCCCCAGGTAGGGGGTGGCGCGTGTCCATCTCTCGGCGGCCGACCCACGTCAGCCAGCGGGTCGCCCCGGAGGTGTGTACGCCGTCCAGGCCGCACGGGTCCCCTCGCCTCTTACGGGGGAACGTGCTCCACTTACACCCGGACACCACAGGAACAGGATCCGCGCTGTTGCGCAGGCGCCCACGGCAAGGCTGTGCCAGCTCGTGGCTCCCTCCTCTTAAAATATTAACGGGTACGTCTCAACAGGTCCAACCGCCAGTGAAGAGCTTATTGTCAAGTCCGTTCTTCCCACGTAATCCGCCTCGTAATCCACCTCCCACCAGGCCTGGAGGCTGCCCTGAGCTAGTGTTTGGGGAATTTGCAGGCAGGAAACGACCAGGCAGATTTCTTTTAAATTCAAAGTAAGCAATTGCTCTGCCTGCAGCAAGTACTTGCCTCATTCTTGTGCACATCAGAGCAATTAGCCCCGATGGCTCAGGCTGGAACAGGGAGGCTGTGTTCCTCTAAGGCCCTGGGAGGCCCTGGGAGGCCCTGGGAGGCCCTGGGAGGCCCTGGGAGGCCGCCCGGGGGGGGGGGGGGGGGGGGGGGGGGGGGACCGTTCCCAGGCCTGCTTGCACTGACACCAAGTGATGGAGAATCCAGGGGGCGGGGGCATTGGCCGAGAATGAGGCACCAACACACCCAAGCCGCCTCCGGGCTCATCCGCTCTTAAAACAAAGGCAAACCCCGAAACCACTAGGAGGACCCCAGTGAAGGCTGGCGGCCGCTAAGGACCCTTGGCGGCAGGAACACTGCTCCTCCGTCCGCAGGATGGAAAAGCCGACCTGGGAAACCCACACGAGAGCCGTAGCTTCAGGTCAAATCCCTACCCGGCTGGCTGCCCACAGATGGATCCCGGGGAGGGGCGCGTGACCATCCTCCAGGGCCTCGGGGCCGCCCTGGGGCTTCGTGCTGAGCAGGAACCTCATCCCAACGCAGCCCCCTCCCCGCCCCGGGTCCCTGTCCCCCTCATCACACGGTGTACAGTCAGCCACTGCTTGCCCACCCAGTCCTGCCCCGGGAGCCTGGGGGGCCCGACACCCCCGACGGCGCCCCTGTGCCCCTGGCAGGTGGAGGCTCAGGGACAGGGCATGGCCAGAGGGCGAAGGGCAAAGCCAGACAGGAGCTTATGGCCCCTCACAGACCCGGAGCCACCCGCTAGGGACCCGGGACCCGCTGGCCCCACCCACACCTCCTGAACCTCCGCGTCACCCTGTGTGTCCGCGCGGCTCATTCTCTGACTCCCTGCGATCCTGCAGCAAAGCTCCTTGAGGACTTGAACCGAAGGACAAAGCAAGGCTGTTTCCTCACCGGGCGAGGAGGGGAAAGGAACGCGGGCAGCAGGCTCACGCGTGTCACATGCCGCCGGCGCCTCAGCATGAAAGGTTTGCAGGTGGGACGGGGCGGGCTTTAGGGACCCGGAGCATCGGACTCAGCACGTACCACTTGCAGGATGCTCGAGACGCTTTCCCAGTCGGCCTCCACGATGTTGCTGCCACCATCGACCATGCCCTGGTAACCCTGCGGGTGAGAGCGGGAATCCTCGTGAGATGGGGTGACTGCTGAGCAGTCAGGTGGACCCGTGAACCCCGTGGGCGCGGATGACGAGGACTCCGAGCCCCGAGGGCCCCAGGGTTAGAAGCAGTGCGAGAGCAGTGCTGGCCCGACGCATCGAAGGTGCACGAAAGCGCCTAATGGGTGTGACACGTGGGACCTTCTTGCCAGACCCATCCCAGGTACCGGGGGGAACGAGACAGCGTGCCTGTCACCCCACAGCGCCTGAGCGCCTCAAACAGGGGGAAACTTACCCAAAAAGCGTCTGTAGTTTAACAAACTCCCGTGCAAACAGTGCGGTCAATCACACTGCACACAAGAGCACATGCCTGTCGGGGCCTCAGTTTCCCCTGGCGATCCATGCTCCCCCATGGTGCGTCTGAGAAAGCAGCGCAGCCAGCGGTCCTCCCTACCTTCCAGGTCGGGGCTGCGGGCTCCCCGGGGACGGCGTCAGCCCACACTTTCCCCGGAAGCCCGAGGGCCGCACCCTTCAGACCCCAAGCACAGCGGATCTCCCCGGGCTCCCCCCCGCAGGCCGCGCGACGCCGAGGAATCTGGGAACACCCACAAGCGCCTTTACCTGCGTGACTCTCCCCAGGACGCTCAACCTTACAAAGGAATGGACCTAGCAGGTCATCAGTGGGGACTCGGATGTCCTAACCAGGAGAGGTCAAGAGGGAAGGGGAGGGAAGGGGTCTTCGAGGCGGCCCACGGGGCAGGGGACCGCGGCTGCCTTTCGGGGCCAGGGATGCGCGCTCCTACTATGCCCCCCCCACCAGAAGTCCGGCACAGACTGCGTCGTCTAACGAGCAACGCGCATCCACAGGGTGTTCAGTGCACAGAACGCGTCACGGTAGCTTTACATTGTGAGACGTGGGGTTACAGGATTCTCTCTATGCCGTAGACAGTGCGTTCCCTGGACTTCTGGAAGTTACACGGGATGAACCTGCTCTCGACGTTCAGTCGGAGCCTCCGTCCCCCTTCCTGTGTCACACGTAAATGAGGCTTCCATCAGCACCCGCGTCTGTGGATGCATGTGTCTCAGGTCACATAGATACACGTTGTGTGACATGTAATGTGTCGTGGATGTTCACCTACTTATAATCCATCGATACAATTACAATATTTTATGTTACACGAAGCGTACATTGTACATTGTAGATACGTTAGACCTTGCAACCATGTGGTATTTTATACACAGTCTGTATGGATAAATACACATATGCCTGCGCATGTCCTCGTCACATAGGCAGCACGTGTGCCAAGCAGCAAAGGGACAGGTGCACAGGATGAAGGAGCACGGAGAGGCCGATGGCAGGCTCGTGGTGGAGCCAGCAGGCCTTCCCGCGCCCCCGGACAGAGGACGGATGCTGGGGCTCTGGCTCCCGCAGCCCCCAGAGCAGCCCCGCCGTGCACCGGGCAGTTTCCGCCAGCTCCAGATAACGTGCTGAGCCACCGCGGCTGTCACGTGCAGGAGTGTGGTGGGATCCAGGCCCGGCCCTGGAAAGCCGGCTGGTGAGAGAGGCTGTATCCACGCCGGGCCCGTGCGTGAGCTGCCCAAGCACAGACGCCGCTGGGGGACGGGGCACCCAAAGCCAGCCGTCCCCCCAAGTCCCGGGGATCGTCGGCAGGAACAAGCGGGGCCCCAGATGACAGTAGGCGGACAGAACAGGCGGGGGACCCAGACGGAGAACGCCCCGCACTCTGCACACCCCACACCACAGACTCCCATCAGCAGCTCCCCACCATCTGTGCCATCTGTGCACGCGCCGCAGCTCGCCCTCTCCCCTGCAGCTCCCTCCTTGGAGGCCTGGGTGGGGACACCCCACGTGAGCGGGCCTGCGGGCCTCCAGACCCTGGACATGGATGCAGCCCTACGCAGAGGCCTGAGGTCCTAGCCCCCGGCCGCAGGGGGTGGAGGGGAGAAGCCGGTCCTGGGGAGCCCAGGAGGGCAGGTGCACACGGGCCATCGGGGCAGAGCAGGGCAGGTGCGCACCCACAGGCTTTGGCAAAAGCAGAGCGGACACCCTAGCGATGCCCCCAGCCGCTGGAGGACTTTCTGCAGGCTCCCCCGGACCCCGCAGTGCTGACAGGACACGCGAGGCCCCGAGAGCGATCCCAGCAAGCGCATCGGGGGCCTCCAGCGCCCGCCTGTGCGCCCGTGCCCCCCGACAACACCGTCCATGGTCCGCTCGGCAGGTGCCCCGCTGGGAACCCAGAAATTCCCTCCGCCCCCGCAGTCACTGCTCTGCACGTCAACACGGACTTAATAAAAACACGTAGAAACCCCTTTGCTGCGGGAGCAGGAACGTGGAGAACCGCGCTGCAATCACACCACGTACCTCCAATCGTAGAATGTTCTCCAGAGGTACTTTACGTCCTGGGGTTTAGAGGCGCCTCGAACAGCTGGTGATAAAGGGCCACTCAGTGACCCGGGGACCCGAGAGGGTGCTGCTGGCCGCGCGGGGGCAGGAAGCGACTCACCCCCTCCGCAGGCTCCTGGAGCTGGGGGGGGGGTGTCTGAAAATCCTTCCCAACTGCGACTCTCAGCTGTCTTCCACTTTCAAGGAAGAGGTCACTGAATAAGAAAGGACCGGCCTACACGAGCGTCCCCTGAACTATAAATCCGGATGAGTGGTTCTCCCCTGACGTCTCCTTGCAGGTTTGAGCACTTATTCCAATGCAACCAGAGCCCGAAATATTTTTCTAGGATTCTCCTTGGAATTTGCCTGCAGAGCCAGTTCTGTGACCCACGGAGGAAGAAAACCACAGAACACCCTGAAGGGCCACACGTAGTTTTTCACCCGGAGTAACACTCCCCACCCCGCACACACAGTGTGCCCCTGAGTGGCCGCGGCGGGCGCATCGCCCTGCAGGAACCTGCTCCGGGGCCACCGGGGACACCTGAGCACGCGCCACACGCTTAGACAGGACTTTGTTTTTTTTTGTTTGTTTGTTTTAATTTTTATTTATTTATGATATTCACAGAGAGAGAGAGAGAGAGAGAGGCGCAGAGACACAGGCAGAGGGAGAAGCAGGCTCCATGCACCGGGAGCCCGATGTGGGATTCGATCCTGGGTCTCCAGGATTGCGCCCTGGGCCAAAGGCAGGCGCCAAACCGCTGCGCCACCCAGGGATCCCTCGGACAGGACTTTGAAGAGCATCCTGAGCAAAGTACACCAGGTCCCCCGATACGGCGTCCTCTGGAGACCGCGCTGCACTCGGGGGTCACGGTGGCCTGGGTTTTGGGGCACCTGGTAAGCAGGTCCTGCATCAGAGCCTGTCCACGGCGGGTGGCTTCCTCGGAGAAGGGACCTCCCACCACGTAGAGTCTAAATCAAGGACCCAGTCCTGTGCCATGTTTGAGGAGCACACCTATCACCTCACATCTGATAACGCTTTTTTTTCCCCAGACCTGATTTCCTGGATTACTGGGTCAGCAGCCCACGGGCAGAGAGGCAGGCGTCCCGACTGCTGGGGGAGCAGCCTCTGGGTATCACAGTGACCGATGCCAGACTTCTCCCCGGAGCATTGCCGCCCAGGGGACATATCTGCTCGTGCTTCCCTCCTTCTAGCTAGAGCAGGTCGCTGCCAGAACCTGAGAGCGAGCACACCGCGAGGCCGGACTAGGCGGGTGGGAAAGGGGCGGCAGGGGCCCCCAGGTTCCGAGTCAGGGACTCGCAACTGTGTGGCTGCGGGCGTTGACCGCAGAGCCTCAGGTCTGGGTCCTGCCCATGCCCACCCGCCGCCGGGCGCCCCCCACCCCAGGGCACGCCCCCAGGGCGCTCCGGATGCCCAGCAGCCTCCTCTGCTCTAGGAGTCCATGACCGCGGGGCACCGTCTACACAGTCGCCTCTGCTTGATCCCCTCGACGTGTGGACCGGCTCGGAGGCGCCAAAACAGGTTAGAAGCCGGGCGGTCACAGCAGAGCCCTGTGCCCCGGAAACCTGACAACAGGCCGCCCGGCGTTGTCAGGTGGCTTGGATGCCAAAGCTGGGGATACCCAGTTCCAGGTACCTGGAGAATCCCGAGGCCGCAGCAGGACACGGTGGGTCCGCATCCTCAGGTGGGAGAGCCTGCCCCCCGCCGGCCGCTCAGCCAGCCCCCGGGGTGACACAGGGACCCCCTAGCGACTCAAACGCCCGGGGGTGAGATGGCCGAGCCGGGGTGAAGCCCAGGCCATGGCGGCGGCACGCGGGGCAGGGGCCCAGGGAGGGGCTCGGCGTCCCCTGTGCAGCAGCCACGGCCCTGGGGCGTCAGCGCGGGGACCCGGCGGCCAGGCTGCTCTCGGCAACGACCCTCCACGCCTGCCAGCAGCGCAGGGGACGTTTAACCGCACATCCGATCCCGTTACTATTCTTAGACATTTTGTGGTCAAGAGGCTCCAACTTTCAGGAAGTTGAAATGCAGAAGCAGCGACGTGTGAAACGTCCAGTTCACGGGGCAACGTGGTTCTGGTCACCTTGCCCGGCCTGCCGGCACTGGGGGCAGGGGGAGGCCTAGGCGGGGCCCACACGCCCCCCAGGGTCCCGGGGCTCCCTGGCCTGCCCCCCACCCCACCCCACCCCCCGCAGGCGGCGGACCAGGAGCTCGGGCTCAGGCGCGACCCGACACCCAGGGGGACCCGGGGACCCCCCAGGACAGGAGGTCAGGCCGGGCGGGAACCAGCCCCGCTGCGCGAGGACCTGCGGCCTCACCGGGAAAGGGGGGGCGGGGCTGTCGGGGTTTCTCTGCCGCGAGCCAGGCAGGTCTTACTTCAAAAATTGTGAAAGCAGGCAGCCCGCAGCGCCAGCCACGCGTCCACGGCCAACAGACGGCTTCCGTCCGCAAGGGGAAGCAGGTAGGAATCGGGCGGACGCATTCAAGCTTGTTCGCCGAGGATGACGTGGGGCCTGATGCACAGGACCCGGGCTGCTGGGCCCCGTGCCCCTCTGGGGGAGCCCCGGTGTCCTGTGTAGACAGGGGCCTGAGGGGGGCCCTGGGTGGGGGGAGCCCCTGGGTGGAGGGAGGCCCCAGGTGGAGGGAGCCCCTGGGTGGAGGGAGCCCTGGGGCCGAGGGAGCCGGGATCCCAGGAGAAGCCACTCGGGGTGGCAGGGGCAGGTGGTCAACCTGCAAGGGGAAGGCCTGACCCCACGCGCTCAGACTCCTGTCTTAGCCCCATCGGCTGCCCACCGGGCACGACGCCAGCCTTTCCTCGGGGTTCAGAAGACAGGGAGATGGAGACACAGGGGCAATGCCCAGGCCCAACTGGAGGTGTCATTTCAAAGAGGAAAAGACTTTCAAGCTAGTCCCAATGACAGGGCGAGAACTGGGGCACCTGGTTTAGCGCTGCCTTCAGCCCAGGTTGTCACCCCGGGGTCCTGGCATCAAGTCCCACGTCGGGCTCCCCGCAGGGAGTCTGCTTCTCCCTCTGCCTGGGTCTCTGCCTCTCTCTGTGTCTCTCATGAATTAGTAAATAAAATCTTAAAAAAATAAACAGCTATACCCATTGTCAATCTGTAGGAAAACCTTCAGCTACAAGGACTTCGAGCCTGCTAATTGCATGAAGCAGGACGGACCTCCTATTCCCGCCAGGAGACCACAGAAACAGACCCCAGCGGGTCTCCTCCCCGGCCCCCCAGAAGCCAGGGCATCTGCAGACCGGAGTCTTGCCAGGCTGAGGGACGGAGGTGCCACCACCATCCCCGAGGGGCCGAAGACACCCGTAGGTTCTGCGGGGAAAACCCTCGCCTGGAGGGGGGGCATCAACAGGTGCAAGGAACGGGTTAATCCTGCGGCCGTCGTCCCCCAATGGTGCCCAAGGGCCGGGCCAGCCCAGCCCGCACAGGCCTGGCCCAGATCTGCAGCAGCCCCGGCTGCAGCCAGACAAACAAACCCGCTGCCAGGCCCCGAGCAGAGATGCCAGCGTTTCCCGCTCAACACACCTCCCACAGACTTTCTGGAAGGAAAAAACCCAAGAACCCTGTGTCTACAGAGCAGCACCCTGTTCAACGGTCCGGGGGTGTCGGCACGTTCCACGGAGACCCTCATGGCCGTCCAGGCGGGCCGACTCTAGCCCGTGGCCCCGGCTCCCGGGTCGTGCCCACGGTCGCCCCCCGGGTCCTCAGATGGCCGCCCCCCGCGGGGGGCCGGGTTCCCCCCGAGCACGGGGCGTGGGTCAGGGATGTATCTGTTCGGACGCACGCTCCATCCTCACGCATGAAGAGTCACGCTTCCCCACCCTTTTCATCAGGATGTTCGTGACCTCAGCTCCTGGTCCTCCCCGTTTCGGGAGGTGGACTTGAGGCTTTTTTCCTCCCACCTCCTTGTCTCTGTGTCTCGCTGCCTCTTGAATCAACCCTTTCCTTGCCGAAAAAAAAAAAAAAAAAGACAATAAACGAGCAAAACGTGTGGAATAGATGCCTGAATGAGGTTTAAGAAGATAAAACTAAGGGCCCCTGGGTGGCTCCGCGGTGGAGCAGCTGCCGTCAGCTCAGGGTGTGACCCTGGGTCCCGGGATCGAGTCCCGCCTCGGGCTCCCTGCGTGGAGCCTGCTTCTCCCTCTGCCTGTGTCTCTGCCTCTGTGTGTGTCTCATGAATAAATAAATAAAATCTTAAAAAGAAAACAAGTCCAGTCTGAGAAGGATTAGTGTGGAAGTCGCTGTGTCTCCAGTTTCCACACCCAAACACTCAGCAGGCGCACGGCCGCCAGGCCCACCCTGTGCGCTCCACGACACGCGCACCAAAGGCACATCCAGCCCTACCATGGGGCTTCCCGACCTCGGCACCGCGGACTCTGGGGCGAAATCACGAATTCCTCGATGTGGGAGCTGCTCTGGGCTCAGTGGCCCGGGAGCACCAGCCCCGGTGTCCACGCCCGAGATGCCAGGAGCGCCACTCCCACCCCGATAATGGGACCGTCAAACGTCTCCCGACACATCCTTGGGGTGGATCACAGCCCTGCTACAGGCTCCACTGGGCGCGTGAGCTGTCACCCCAGCCCCACCAGTGACAAAGACACGGAAAATGCAGACTTCCTTTTACCGACGAGCCACGGGTCCATTCCTTTAACTGTGAAATACCGGATAGGACTTGCTTGTCCCCCCACTGCCACCCCCGCACCCCGTGAAGCCCAGTGGGGCGGGGACCCAACAGCAGTTCCGCAGCATCACCGGCCATGGCGACAGGCACTGCGGGCCCGTGGGCCACAGGAGCCACGGCCCTGGCACATCCGCCCTCCGAGAGAGCCTTCCCCAAGCCCGAGCCTCAGGAGCTGCCGTCAGGCCAGGGGTGCAGTATCCCTGCGGCTCTCGGGCGAACACAAGCCTCCCCAGAAGGCTGTGGAGCGAGATCAGGAGGCAGAGCGGCCTGTGCGCACATGGCCAGCAGCCGCCGCGGGAATGCACATGCATGTGTCCGCCCGTGGGACCCTGAACATCGGGGACAGGGCGGGGGGGACGGGGGATGATGGGGGACCCGGGACGGGGCAGCGGGGTGCTCCTCCGCACCGGCCAGCGGCAGCCGTGACCCCGAAGCGCCCGACACGGGGACCGAGCGATGGCCTGCAAATGCTCCGCGGGGCCCATGGCCTTCGTCGCCCAAACGGGAGCAACAGCAACCCCGCGTCAGAAGCGCCGCGCGGGGAGGCCGCCCAGGGCAGCGGGCAAAGCAAACTCCCTCCCACATGCGCTGCACAGCCCAGGGAGCGGCGGCCCACGAACGGCCTCCTCCTGGGGCAAAAACACACGCCACAGGCACCGGCTCCGCACCAGCTCCCGGGCTCGGGTGGAGCCGCGCACGCGGGACAGGCACCCACAACCAGCGTCAGAAACTGCTGTGGCCCACGGCACCAAACCCGGCATGAGGGACAGTCACCGGGGCCCAGGGTTGGGATCAGGGTCATCCTGGGGGTCTACATCCAGGGCAGGCCTCCTGCGTCAGGACACGGGCAACGTGGGCTGTGACCCACAGCGTGCAGCTGCCTGGGGATGGAGGGGCACCGGGGGGATGGGGGGGTCACCAGGGGGACAGAGAGGATCCTGGGGACAGAAGGGTCACTGGGGGGATGGGGGGGTCACCAGGAGGACGGAGAGAATCCTGGGGACGGGGGGGGGGGAGGAGGGGGAGGAGGGGGAGGAGGGGGAGGAGGGGGGCTGCAGATGAAGACATCCATCCCCCAAGACCACCAGGTGCAGACAAAAGGGCATTATGTCCCCATGTGCTGTCCCTTCCTGCTGCATCCCCGGCCCCCCATCTCACAGACCAGCATCTAGCCCCCCACCCCCCATCCCTGCAAGCCCCCCCACCCTGCATCCCTGCAATTCCCCCCCAACCCCACTCCCTGCACCTGGACCAGGGAGCCCCCCACCCCGCATCCCTGCGAGTCCCCCACCCCGCACCTGGACCAGAGAGTGCCACCCCCTCCCCAAAGGCCCCCCCGCCTGGATCCCATCTCCCGCCACCTGGTGCCAGGTTGCAGAGCCCAGGCCCATGCCAGGCACCGGTCCCCGAGCCAGACCAAGCTGCAGGGAGACGCAGCACCGACCTCATAGATGAAGTACACTTTGGCTCCCACGTATATGCCCATGCGCACGACAGCTCGGACGGCGGCATTCATACCTGCGGAGGGAACGGGACAGTCGTCAGTGACCAGCCGGAGCGACTCTGGCGCTGCCCTCGGACCCACCCGAAGGCTCCCCACCTGGACGACGGGCCTGGGGCGTCCCTCGGGGGTCCGGGTCTCAGGCCCGCGGAGTGTCACCGTCAGGGGCCCGGGCACCACCCCGCGGGGTCACAGGCCACGCGCCCCGTCCTTGAGACCCGGGGGAGGACGCAAGGTTGTCAGCGAGCCAAACTCCCATAAATACAGAAAATGACAGTCCCCGTGACGTGAGGGGGAGAGAAGAACACGGGATTTCATGAGCAGCTACTGCAGTAAACGACTCCTCAGGCCACGGCTGTGAAAGGCTGCAAGTCCCGTAGCCGGACAAGCTGTGCACGCTCGGCGTCAGTCCGGGCTCGTCACCCGAGAGGTCGACGCAGACGCGGACAGGTGCACATCCGGGGGCCTCGTCGCCTCACGTTCTCGAATCTGAACGACCTACTAACGGGGATGCTCGGCCCTCCAGACCCTCGACTCCCTGCATCCAGGTGCGAGCGGCCACTGTGCCGTGCTCACGCCCCTGCGCGTGCACCTGTGCGGAGGCCCACCCCCACACCCCCCGCGCCCCTGAAACGGACATTTCCCCCCACACCAGCTCCAGATCCCACCACATCCCTCTGACGTCACCCACGCTGTGGCCAGAGTGACTTACAAACACAATCTTGTTTTTTTTTTTTTTTTTTTTAAAAAAGATCCTGGAAAAGGCAAAACTATGGAGATGGCGACGAGATGCGGGGCTGCGGGGGGGGGGGAGGCGGGGGCCGTAGCAACTGGTCCTCGCCACCGCTGCATGGTGGCCGGGGTCCAACCACATCTGTCCAAACCCACAGGACGCCCCCCAGCAGCAGCGACTCTGGCGGCGGCTCCGGGGGAGGAGGGCGCGTCCGCGTCCCCCGAGGCGGGCTGTACAGTGGGGGAGCTGAGCACGCGGGGGCACGGGTCCTCCTTGTACCTTCCATTCAGGTATGAACGGGCCAAAACGGCTCCAGAAAATAAGGTCTTTAGAGCACGGGCTGGGGGCACCTGGCGGGCTCGGTCGGAGGGGCCATGATTCTAGATCTCAGGGCTGCGTGTTCGAGGCCCACACGCTGGGTGTAAAAGTGACTTAAAGATAAAATATTTAAAAATAAGTTCGAAGGAAATGCTGGCCTGCGTCCTTTCCCCTGGGCTGCCCCCGCAGCCGGCCACGGAGCCCCACGGCTGCACCGTCCCGGCACCAGCCCGAGAGTGCCCCTCCGGTTCTCCAGAGGTTACCGGGTGGGAACCCATGGGCACCAATGTGGCCTCCACGGGACCTGCACGCAGCCAGCCACACCTGTGGGGGGAGGCAGTCCCCCACCCCACCCTCTTACCCTGGAAGGGCCGCCCCGCGCCCATGTGCACACCGTGTGGGGTGCTCACGCATCTGCACCTGGACAGGTGCGCTCTCCATGGCCCGGCCAGGTGTGCACGCGGCCTGCGGCCTCACCCCGAGGCCTTACGGATGGAGGAGCACAGCTGCTCACTGTCCCTTCCGACAGACCCCAGGATTCTAGGCCTGGCTCCGCGGCCCCCATCCCAGGGAGATTAACCCCAAACGCTCCACCACGTGAACACCATCCCCGGGGGACCGGCACCTGCAGGCCTGCGCCCACCTGAGCACCCTTTCCTCAGGAGGACGCTGGCTCCGGAGGTGGGGGGAGGTGGGGGGGTCCTCTTGGAAAGGCCTCCCTTTAGGGGAGTTTCTAGAGAACGTAGGACACGGCAGGAGGAAACTGTGACGAGTGACCCCCGGAGACCCGGGTCACAGAGATCCGCAGACCTTCACGCCAGCCCCGCGCCCAAGTCCCAGCCTGGCCTCTTGGTGTTAACCTGAGAGGGAGGCTCGCCGGGTCACCTGTGGCAGTGGGCGTCCCTGGGGGGCGGGGGCTGGGGGGGCTTCCCTGGTGGGGAGAGGAGGTTCCTGGGAGGGCGAGGGCTGCTCACCCTCTAGCAAACAACTACCCCCCAGGCCTGCCAGATTTTATTCATTTGCAAGTGAGTGCACTTTGCTTAAACCAGCGGGCCTCCCCCGGCTGGGGCCCCCCTGCCCGCCTAGGGGCCCACCTGCCCGGCTAGGGGCCTGGGAGGTCGGTCGCGCCTCCAGCTCTGCAGCAGGTGGACAAGCTCCGGGGGAAGAGGAAGTCTGGTCCCCGCAGACAACCTGAGAGCCAGGGGAGCAAAATGAACAAACGGCCCTGCTGGAGAGAGAAGCTTAGTCTCTATTTTATCTTCACTTAAAAGGCGAGCGGATTCCCTCGGGGCAGGCGCACCTGCCCTGCTGTAGGATGGCCCCAGAGGAGCGAGGAAGAAAACAGCCTGCCGGGCCCCAAGGGAGGGCTTCCCAGTTTGGGGCGGGGCCTGTGCTGGGTCAGCTGGTCCTGGGAACAGGGTGGGGCCAGGTGGGGCCATGGCCCTGGGGGACGGCTGCGAGGAGCCGACCCTCCAGGACATAAATCTAGCCTTACAGAATCGCCCATGCCCCCCTCGACCCCAGGGCCTCGGTCACACACAGCTTGGATGCCGCATGCATTCCTTGCTCTTTCACTTTTGTTTCAGCACCAGATCTGGGAATTTACGACTCTCCTGGTGGCTCCGTCCTGGAAGCCTATGCCTGGGGCTCAGGTCATGGTCCCTGAGGTCCTGGGATCGGGTCCTGCTTCTGCTTCTCCCTCTCCCCCTGCCCCTCCCTGTATGGGCTCTCTTGCTCTCACTCGCTCGCTCAAATAAATAAAATCTTAAAAAAAAAAAAAAAAAAAAAAAAACAGATCAACAACAACTCTCCTAACGATTCCCACGGGCAAACGTCATCCTGCTACCAAGTCAGAATCTTAGAATTTGGAAACACTAGCAGCTGACGGGAGCCGTGAGATCCTCCCTTCAACCCAACAGATGGAACAGGTGCCCCAAGCGCTCCCCGGATGTCACGGACCAGGAAGCCCCTGCAGGTGAGGGCCGGCGGCCATGAAGACCATTCCTTCCTCAATTAAAATAAGAACTCAGGAAAAAAAAAATGAATGACAGAAAGGAATGCAGAACCAATCACTGTCCTGGACGTCCAACACGAATGTAACTACGCTGCAGTGAAAGTAAAGATGGTTAAAAAAATAATTTAAAAAAATGACTTAAATGATGTTTTTAAAAAAAACTTTTAAAAACATCATTTAAATAGGGGATCCCTGGGTGGCTCAGCAGTTTAGCGCCTGCCTTCAGCCCAGGGCGTGACCCCGGGGTCCTGGGATCAAGTCCCCCCCCCCCATCGAGTTCCCCGCAGGGAGCCTGCTTCTCCCTCTGCCTGTGCCTGTGCGCCTCTCTCTCTCTCTCTCTCTCTCTCTCATGAATAAATAAATATTTTTTAAATAATAATAATTTAAATAATTAAAAAAAGAGAAAAAAAACATCCTTCCTTCCCCGAGGTCACAGAGTGCAGTGGCCCCGTTTCCAAACGCCTCCGGAGGTCTGCTCCGAGGGAGGCCAATCTGCAAGGAGCGAGGAGTCCGTTGATGCTGATAAAGTAACAGGGGCTCATCCTCATCGGCGCAGGCTCCTCACTTCGCCCTTCCGACCCTCTGGAGTTACGTACCCCGCCCCCAACGCTGCCTCGTGACTGCTCCCTCACTAATTAAACTCCTTTTTGAAAAATCAAGTGAGGTTGTTTAGTCGCACTGGCTTCCCCCTGAAATCCTGTAGACCTCAGCTTCGGACCGAGGCAGAGATGTCAGGAAACAAACTTAGAGCCCCTCATCTAGCCCTTGCTCCTCGAGTCCTTCATAAAAGCTTCCCCCTTTAACAACGGAGGAGTCCCAAGGACACCCGCGCCCCATCAGCGGCCAAGCCGGGGCTTCCTGCATCCTGCTGCACAGGAGGCGCTGGGCCCCCGGGGCAAAGGCGTGAAAGGTCAGAGGGCGGCCTGCAACGGGTGTGCGAGGGCAGGCTGGCTCACCGCGCGCCCACCCGACGCCCGCGGACGGGGCACCCTGTCACTGATGCATCGGCAAGCGTGGCCTGCCTGGCTCCGGGGGGCGGAGAACAAGGCCCGACGGGCACACGGTGCTGCCGCCCTGGCAGGTGCCGAGGAGAAGCATCCAAAGCACAGCAGGGCTGGGGGACCCAGGGAGGGACAGCGGGGGACGCGGGGAGCCGGCGCGGGGCCCTGGAGAAGCTCTGACGCCCGAGAACCGGACGACCAGCTGAGGGGACATCTGCACAAGGCGACTCCTGCAGGCCCTGCCGGCATCCCCTGCGCGCCTCCCGGACTTGGCCACGTGCACGCAGCAGGGCCCCTGGGTGCTCCCCACCGCGGCGTGGGCCTGATGGATCTCGCTGATGACGCTTATCCTGGGAGGCCCGGAAACCCTAGGCTGCGCAAGACGAACATTCACAACGAACTTCTCCGGTTTCTTTTCCTCTGGAGACGTGATGATGTCACCTTCCCCTCCCGGCCGCTCTGCTGCCCTTATCAGAAGCACCCAGTCCGCCCAGGTGGCTTCCCTGCCCCTACGAGGTAAGTCCAAAGTCCTCCCTGCCTGCCCCTCCTCACAGCCTCACCCAGCGGCCCCTGAGCCCTCCTCCCGGCCCCGGGCACCCACCTCGCCCTCGCCCTCGCCCTCGCCAGGCTGCTGGGCACTAGCTCAGCCCTCGGCGCCGGGGGGGATGAGGGCAGGAAAAGGTGAAACGAACCCCAGGAATACTAAGCCAGAGCTGAGCCAACGAGGAGGAGGGGCTGCGGCCAGTGGCCCTACAGCACCCTTCCCACCATTTTCTGCCCAGAAGGGACGTCCAGCCTCGTCACATATTTGCACCTTTGTACACAAGGGGTCCCACGGTCATGAACCTTGCAGTCGAGGTCCTCCTCGAGGTTAGAAAGCCACCCCGTGAAACTGCCCCGGGAACCCAGGACACAGGCACCAGCTGTGGTTCTCAGGCCGCAGCAAGACCCACAAAACCAGAATGTGTGCCTCACCAGGACCCCAGGGCAGCCGCTACACAACCCGGAGGGAGCGCGTGAGCCCCCGGGGATGTCGGGCCTGCAGGGCCCTGGGCTGGGCGCTGCCTTCCCCCTTCTATCCTCCTTCTACAGAAGACGTTCACTGGGGAGAAGGGAGGAGAACAGAGGGATTCTGTGTCCTTCATTCTGCAAATGAGAAACAGAGGCCTGCCTGCTGCCCTGAGGAGAACCAGGGAGGGGCCCATCAGTCAGTCTCCTGGTCCTGCAGGCGGCTCCACCACGCGCCTGCTGCGGCTTGCCCTGACAAGCACAATTGCCGGAATTCCCAGCGAGCTAAGCCAAGGGTGGCGGGGACGCGTGGGGCGAAGGACACGGGGGCGCTCGGCCGCGCATGGAACCGGAGCACCAGCCCAGGCCTGCGGAGAGGGAGTCGGACGGCACCTCAGCCTCCCGCTTGACACAAGGCCCTCCCGACCTCATCACAACCACGCGGGGTGTGCAGTTCGGGGTCCCAGTGCCTGCCTTCCCCGCGTTGCCGGCCGCCGCCTCCTTTCTAAGGGGGACGGCTTCCTTCCCAAGTCCCGCCGGCCCCAGTTCTCCCCGACGAAAGGTGTCCGTCCTGAACCGAAGCCGTTTGTTCCCCGTAAGGCAGGTCTGGGGTTTTCGGACCTCAGGGTGTCCAGCTCCTAGGAGTCGCCCGGACCGGCCACACAGGGAAACGGGGCAGCGGCTGCAGGCCCACGGCACTCGCGGGGTTAATGCTCTAACCCCAACATGCTGCCTCCTAGACGCACCCATACTTGCTAAATTAACCATTAAATGTTACGTGGGGAAAAAAAAATCCCAGTACAGAGCGTGCATACAGAGTTCCAGGCCTGGAAGGGGCCCCAGGGAGACGAGACGCCCACGGGTCCCCCGTTTCCGCGGCGCGCTGGGAAGCTGCCTGCCGGGCTCGGGGCGAGTGCACGGGGAAGGCACCCCCTGGAGGTGTTCGGGGAGCGCGCAGTCAGCCGCAGGAGCACCTGGGCCCTGGCCAGCGATGGGCGCCTGGCGTCTGTGACGGCAGCAGGAGAGCTCGGGGCACCTGCCCTTCCCAGGTACCGCTGCGCAGGTGGAAGGGAGCTCCTGAGGAGCAACGGCCCAGGTCACTGAAATGACTTACTGAGAAAGGGAAGCGGCCAGAGCTGGCAGTTGCCCCGCATTTTATGAAAGGGGAGCGGCCCACAGGCCTTTGCGGGATTCGGAACCGACCGCGCAGCAGACAGGAGAGCCTGCCGGGGTGGCGCACGGGGTGGCCGCCACAGAGGCCCCCGGGAAGAGGCTCTTGGGTCCCGGCCCCACTGCCACTGAGAACGCAAGGCACCGGGTCCTGGCAAAGCTCACTGGCCTCGGCGGGCACCGGGCGTAAGCTAGCAGCCCACCACCAGCCCCCGCTGCTCCCGATGTCCTGTCGGACCTCTCCGACCTCTTCGGGTCCCCTGCTCCCTGCTCCATCCACTTGCCCGGAGGCGAGGGAGGGAGGGCTCGAGGCGAGGGAGGGAGGGCTCGACCTTCCCAGCCACGCTGCCGCCCCCCAAGACACTCGATTTCCCCTCCTGCTCCTCTGCGTCAGGGCCCACGGTCTGTAGCCAGTGATTCATGTTCAGCCAGTGACACAACCTTGCTCGCGGGCGGCTACTTAGTCACGGAGAGGCTGTCCGTCCGTCTGCCCGGCAAGGTGCAAGTTCAGTTTAAACTTGCAGGCATTCCTTGCGACAGCAGAAGAAACCCGAAGCTTGAGAAAAATAACTAGCCCTGGAAAGACTCTGCCTTCGGGGGCGGGGCTGAGGCAGGATCCTCTTCCTTTGGTTTTTTTTTTTTCCTCATTACTAAATTCGTTTGGAAAACAAAGCACTTTGTTGGGCGCAAGGATGTTGCCGTAAAAAAAAAAGATGTTTTCTGCTCTGATACCAAAGCTGTTTAAAAATCATCGGGGTGGGGAGTGCCCGGGGGGTTCAGAGGGTTAAGCCGGGCTCAGGGCCTAGAGATGGAGCCCCAGGTGGGGTCTGTGTCAGCAAGGAGTCTGTTTGGGATCCTCTCTCCTTCCCTGTCCCCCACCCTGCAATACATAAATACATACATATAGAAAAGAGAAAAAAAAAAACCTTTAAAACCTGGACTTTAACTTTACAACCACGCCTGAAGAGCGTGGCCCTACTGGGAAGGAGGTGGGATCCAGACCCCACAGAAGTCGGTTTAAAGCCTGTCGCCTGCCACAGAGGACCTGTGTAGCCCGGACCAGGTCACGTATGTCCTTGTGGGTCTTTCTCCCAATCCTCCACAGTGAGGACGTACCTATCTCGGAGCAATGTGAGCAGGCCTGGGGAGAACCGTAAGGCTCCCGGAACCCAAAGCATGCCCAATAGACAGTCGCTGCTGTTTATTGGCTTCCATCCCCCGTGGAATCTTACCATAATTTCACATTTGATCGGAAAACCTGAGATTGAGATTCGCGTCTTTAGCGAGGAGCGGAACTCTCCAATCTCAGGGAAATTCTGCTGACAGAATCTGGACTCAGCCCAAAATGGCAAAAGAACCGAGCGTCTGACACATTATCTCTGTCGGAATAACCTCGTCTAAGAGTCTGTGAACGTGTTGCTGCTAAGACCAGACCCTCTGAGCGCACGTCGGGATCAGCTTTCTCGGGAGGAAACACATCCAGAGGCTCCGGCAGGTCTAAGACAGGATAAAAGCAAGAGATGGCACTTTGCATGCGGTCCAAGAAAAACCCTGAGCCAGCGGCCCACCCTTGGAGTGGGGCCCTGGGGCACGTTGGGCTCTCTCTGGGGCAGCCCAGAGGTGCCAAGTCGAGAGCATCCGTCACCTCCCCTGACCTCACACCAACAGCGCAGCCTTCTCCTGTAATTTTGCTTCTCAGACTATCCCGTCCCACTGCCCATAAGGCGTGCAGCCTTACTGACCTCTATCGTAACTACTCCCAAGTGGCTGAGCCAGGCTAAGCAGTGGAAAGTGCTGACTCTGTGTGTTGCCCCAGCATCTCCAGGGCCTGCACGTCAACTACCAGGTAGCTGAGCAAACCCCAGGACAGGGATTCAGAAGAATGACCCACTATATATTTTTTTTAATTTTTTTTTTTAAACAGACACAACACCTTAATTGTAAAATCACCTGGAAACTGGCCTTAAAGCCTGCTGCTTAGAGCCTCCTTCTCTTCCTCTGCCAAAGACGCATTTCTTTCAGGTTAAGATTCACTCAAAATGCTTCCTACTTTGGGGCACCCAGGGGGGGTCAGTGGTTGAGCACCTATCTGCCTTCGGCTCAGGGCGTGACCCCGGGGTCCTGGAGTCGAGTCCCACATGGGCTCCCCCTGCATGGAGCCTGCTTCTGTCTCTGCCTGTGTCTCTGCCTCTGTCATGAATAAATAAATAGAATCTTGGAAGAAAAAAAAAAAAAAAGCAGATGCTTCCTAATTTGTGCTGGGGCAGGCAGGTCTCCAGACGCAAGTGCTTGCTAGGCCATGTGACAGGGAAGCCGCCGCACCCCACCAGGCCCCACGTGGCGCGCCCTGGGGTGCTCGTTCAGGTGCGGCTCCGGGGGTCGGGGCCTGTGCTCTCCAACGGTTTCCTTCCCCGGGAAGGGCAATGTCTACACCGGGGCCCGTTACTAGGACGCCAGGGCACGGAGCCGCCGGGGCTGGGGGCGGGGGCGCAGCGGGCACCCGAGCGCCCTCCCCGCGCCCAGGGCGCGCGCCGCCGATGCCGAGGCCCAGGGCGATGCCGAGGCCCAGGGCGCAGGGCGCAGGGCGGCGACTGGCCGGGCATCACGTAGACGCGCGGCGGGCGGGGCTGCGGCCACCGCGCCCCGACCTGCCGCCCCCGCGCCCGCCCCGCCCGGCTCAAGGGCGCCGGGAAGGTCACGAGCGCGGGGGGCGGGATGGGGGACGCGGCGCCCGAGCATCCCTGCATCCCTGCACCTGGCGTGACCTGGAAGCCTGGGAGAGCCGGGCACCGGGGCGGGAGCAAGGGGAGGAAATGACCGAACCCGGCTCGGGGAGGCGTCCCCAAGCGGTCTGTGCGCTCCGGGGACGCGCCCCGCCGCACGGCGGCCATCCGCTGGCTGGCGGGGCTGGCTCCTCCGGGGGTGCACCTGCATCCGGGGCGCCCCCGGCCCCGCGCCCCCTGCGGCCCCACGTGCACGCGGCGCCGGCCGGGGCGTGGCCCCGTCACCCTCCGCTTTAGGCGGTGGAAGTGGTCTCTGCGGGTGTCCATGGGCCGGGGCTGGGCGCCCCCCCCCCCCGGGCTGCCCCACGTGGCGGGGACGAGCAGGGGCGCTGCGGGGCGCGCCCGGGGTGCCCGCTTCCTGCCGGCGGGCGGGCCTAGGCACCCATTTCAGTGTTCCGTTGGGTCGGGAGGGCGGCGGACAGCGCCCCGCGGGGCATCCCCGGCCAGGACCCCGCGCCCCCCGCGCCACCCACGCGCCCCCCCTGCGCCCTCCCCGCGCCCCCCCGCCCCCTGCGCCCCCCCCGCGCCCCCGCGCCCCTCCAGGCCACAGCAGGGACCCCGCCTGAGCCGCGCGCCGCGCACCCGGCCGTTGTTCCTGCGCGGTGGGGGCGGGGGCCGCGCGGCTCGGGCCCCCAAGGGGACCCCCCATCCCCCGGACTCGGACGGGGCTGGCCCGGAGGCCCCGCCGCCAGCCTCAATCTAAAAACTAAACGTGGAGGGGAAAGTAACTGGTCTTCCCGTTAGAGGAGCCGCCGCATCCCCCCGCCCCGCAAGGTCCCCGCGGCCCCTGGGCTTCCCCGCCTCCCCGCTCGCCCCGCGGGCCCGCTCCCCTCGCCTCCTCCGGGAAGCCCCCGCGCCTGCCCCCGCCGCCCCCGCCGCCCCCGCCGCCCCCGCCGCCCCCGGCCCGGCCCCTCCCCCGGCCCCCCGCATCCCCATCCCCGCGGGCGGGGTCGGGCGCCGCGCACCTTGGGCATCCCCGCCGCTGGTCAGCACGCCGATGGCCTTGCCGGCCCCGGACAGGTGCTCCAGGAACGTCCGCAAGGACACCTTGCTGTCGGAGGCCTCTTCCCCCGCCATGGCGAGCAGGCGGACCGGCGCCGGGGCGGGAGCGGGAGCCGGAGCGCGGCAGGCAGGCCGGGAGGGAGGGAGGGAGGGAGGGAGGAGGGGGGGCCCCGCCCCGCCCCGCCCCGCCCGCGCCGCCGCTCCGAACCCTCCGCCCCACCCGCTCGGCGCGCGCCAATAGGCGGCCTGGGGCGGGCTCCGGGGCGCGGGAGGGCGGGGTGGGGCGCTCCGAGGCGGGGGCGGGTAGAGGCGGGGCGGCACCGCGGGAGGGGGGGCAGCTCCGGGCGCTAGGGAGCGCCGCAGGTGGGGGGATGGAGGCAGGGGCAGCGCCGCAAGTGGGGGGGATAGAGGCAGAAGGAGCGCCGCGGGAGGAGGGGCAGCTCCAGGCTCAGGGGAGCGCCGCAGGTGGGGGTATGGAGGCAGGGGCAGCGCCGCGGGTGGGGGGTGGATGGAGCAGGGGAGTGTGCAGCAGGTGGGGGCACAGTGTCGCAGGGGGGTGTGCAGCAGGGGAGGGCGCACTGTCGCAGGGGGGTGTGCAGCAGGTGGGGGTGTACGAGGGGAGGTGGGCAGGAGGACCCGTCAAAGGGAGCGCCGCAGGTGGGGGGGCGGAAGGAGCAGGGCAGTGTGCAGCAGGTGGGGGTGCACCGCTGGTGGGAGGAGGACCGGGTGGGCCGGCGGGCCCCGGGGGCCAGGAAAGCCCGGCAGGTGGGCGGAGCACCTGAGAGGGTCGGGCACAGCCCCGGGGGGCCTGACTCGCGAGCGCTGGTGGGGGAGGGAGCGGGGAGCTTCGGGGCGCCCGGGACACCGAGGTGGGCGGGGTCGCGGCGGGGGGGGGGGAGCCCGCGGGGAGGTGCTGGGGGGCCGGACCCCGACCGCAGGGCCCCCAGCTTCTCCTAGGAGTAGCCGACTCCGGGCCTGGCCTGCAGCCCTGGGCTGGGTGCACCTGCCGGGGGTCCCCCAGCTGGTGGGCAAAAGTGGGCGTCGCTGGCTGGGGAGGAGACCCGGGCCTGCTCCCCTCTGGAGGAGGAGCAGGAAGTGACCAGAGGGGCCCTGGCGCCACTCTAAGCCGGATTGGGATGCAGAGAAGCCTGGGGGGGGGGGGCAGGAAAGATTAGCGGGCAGATTAGACCTAAATTCTCACCTGGGGACCCTGACCTGTGCCAGGTCTGCTGGAAATCTCCAAACCTAGAACATGCGCATCCAGTACCCCTGGGGCGATGCATGAACCCCCGCGCCCACTCTGCACAGAGCTCAGCTCAGGACCAGGCCCCTGCTTCGGATGTGGAGCTGGGCCCTTTCCGGGGCCTCCTGTCACCGGGCACACAGCTATGTGCTTGGAGTACAGGAGACCCCAAGAAGCGCCGCTCAGAAATCCCCCACCCACAGTTCTCCCTCCGGAAGGCCTCAGCCTGCAGGTGGATGCGCAATAGAGGTTTGTCAGGTGAACATGAGAGGGAAAAAGAACTCGAGGAAAGACTTGCTGAGATAACCCGAAAAGTCTGTAATAGCAACCCAAACGAGCTACTTGGGCCACCCCAGGGGAACGGTGGGGGCACGAACCTTTAGGTTGGGGTGCTCGGCCCTCCCAGCTACCCCTCATCCTCGAGCTCGCCCCTCTGAGCAATAAACAAAATTTATTGTAAAAGAGAAAGACCAGGCTGGAGGGCTGACCTCTCCTCGGCCGGAATTATTGGTGCCTCCATAACCCCGCCGGCGTCAGAACCACCCTGGCCTGATTTCCGCAGCCCCACCAGAACCGCTGAAGTCCAGCTTTGGGGTGCTTCCCCGAGAATATGTGCTTTTAGCAAGCTCCCGGTGTCTTCTGAGGATTGCAAAGCCTGAGAGTGACTGCTCTGAGCAGGGCAGGGGCTGCTGGAAAGGAACGCTGGGCCTTCTGGGGGTGGCAGGCGGGTGCCTCTCACTCTCCCAGGGCAGGGGAGCCGAGCCAGGCTGCGCCCAGAGGTCCTGCACCCCCCGCACCTCCCACCTAGGACTTGTGCTCTAGAATCGCTCCTTCCTAGAGCATCCTGCACTTGCAAAAGTGGGTGCACGCTGAGCTTTAATCTGAGCCTGAGGCCCTTACCATCTTATACAATCGGTATTTTATAATGTAAAGTTAGAGATGGGTCATTTGTCTTTGAATTGTCCATAACGTAGAGAACAGTGGCTATACACGGGGTCCAAACACGACAGTGGGTTAAATAAATTATGGCAAAAGTCTACACTGGAATAGTTGTCAATTATTGTGCTGAAATAAATATGTGATCGCTAATATCCAGTGTGGGCCAGGTCTGAAGGCCCAGCTGAAGGCTCCCCCAGGGGAAGGGTCGGCCTCTGCACACACTCCTGGGGTCCGGGCAGACCTGCTTTCCTCGGGGCTGCTGGAGGAAGCGTCTCCGTCCTCCCTCCCAGTCCTCCCGGGCCTGCAGGCTTGAACTCTTCCCCTCATCCTGGCAGTTGCCTCGCCTTCCAGCCTTCCAGCCGTCCCTGTCCCGCTAGCTCCGAGCTAATCTGCACACACACCACCTGGCCTAGCCTGACCACATGCCCCGCATTCCCTCTCCTCCTTCCTAGAAAGTCCACGCACAACGCCCAGTCATCTGCTAAACTAGGCGTTGCCGCCGCCCCCGCCTCCCCGGGGCCCGTTGTCTTTCAGTGTCCTTGTCCACACTTAAAAATAATTGTGCTCCATGCCTAATAGCTAAACTTTGCATTATATATAGAACGCTTGGATGCTTTCCAAGACCTTGATGCACAATCTCGTCCTCCGGAGCCAATGAGAATCTCTAGAAACTGGGAGGCGGCGGGTGCAAGGGAGCAGAAGCCAGTCTCACTATTTCTGCCAAGTATGTGGCTGTTCCGAGTTTCCACCGTCGAGAGGCAAACTCCATCCGGAGACTGGAACCTCTCACGGGGCAACGGTATTCCCTTCACGGGGTAGGTTGGCAGCGGCGGGGCCTCCTCCTTCCAGCAGGGCTGGCCTAGCAGGAGGCCCCAGTGATGGTGAGGGAGGGGGTGATGGGTGGAGGGGCTGTCCCCGCAGAGGAGCATCACCCGAGCACTCCCATGGCTGCCGGGGCTCTTTCCCCCGAAAGCAGAGGGAACGAGGGGTGGCTGTCTTGAAAACGAAGTTGCAGATGCATCTCCCAGCTGGAAAAGGAAATGGTGATTCGAGCCACGTGAAGGACTGACGGGTGACTTTCTGTGTCGGGCTGGCCGGGCAGAGGCCGCCCAGATGTTCCGTTAAACATTACTCTGGGTGTGTCTCTGGACGGGGTTCGCATTTGAATCCAGTGACTCAGGGAAGCAGATTCCCCTCCCCAGTGTGGGGGGGCCTCCGACGGTGCCCTGAGGCCGAGAACATAATAAAAAGGCAGAGGGAAGGAGAATCTGCTCCTGCTGCCGAGCCAGGATGCCCTGTCCTCCTGCACCTCTGGTCCTCGGCCTGTGGGTTTGCACGAGGATCCCACACGGCCTTCCTGGATCCCCAGCCTGTGCCTCCAGAGCCCCGCGAGCCTCAGATCCGCGCGATCACCCTCCCCATGTGTGTGTATAAGTATATCCCACAGGTTCTGTTTCTCCGGAGAACCCTGAGGAGTTGAGTCCCTCCCTAAGGCCAGGTGAGGTCCTGCTCCGGCTGAGAAATGCGAAAATCTGAGCGCTGGTTTTCATAGTGTCTCCGCAGACCTGCGTCCTCCGAGGGCCCCTGAAAGTTTGGATCGATAATACCCGGTTCATGTGGGTCCAGCTGAAATGTTTCTCGGCTGAGGCGTTCCAGGGCAAACAGCCTGAAACATCTGAACGCAAAGCCATCGACAATAACCCTGTTTCAGTTTGCAAACGGGCACGCGGGCCATACGTGTCTTAGTGGCACATGCCAGCATCCAGCAGGTGATTTTTAACATTTTGGGGGTACACTGCCTGAGATTCTGATGCAAGCCACGGACCTCTTGCTCTGCCCAAGAGTACGTATGTGCACACGTAACTAGCACCTGCTGCACACAGTCCGGGGCACTCCAGGCCTGGCGACTGGCCGGGCGGCCCAGGGCTGATGGCAGAGGGCAGAGCGGCGGCCGCAGGCCCCGGGGCACACGTCTCCGACTCTGAATGGTCCCTGGCTGCCCACCTGCAAGCCCTCTTTTCCTAGGCGGCCAAGCCCAGCTAGTGGGGTGCAAGCCCAGGGTAATGGGAATGAGCGTCCTACGCCCTGGGGAGGAAGCAGGTGTTGGGCCAGAGTCTGTTGCCCATTGGTGCTCAGACCCCCCTCCTGTCCGAGCACCTGAGACCCACTTCAGAGCTCCTGTTTCTCCCACTGAGGGGGGGCATGGGAACACCCCCGAGCACACTGCTCTTTGATGAGCCTCTCCAGCCCGGGCCCATCGGGTTGGCTGTTTGTCCTCTCGTCCGAGGCACTTCTGTGGAGCAAGGGACTGTTGCAGCCATGGGACGTGCTCTCAGGGATGCCTTCTGCACAGGCCACGTCCTGGGGACCTGCTTGTCCCTCCTGGAGTGGCCTCCTTCCTCACCTGGGTCCCGACAGGCGGCGGGCCCAGGGGCCCCACTCGGCTTTCCCTGGCACTCCACCCACCAGGTCACCAGGGGCTCAGTGCTTGGGGCACAAGGTGCTGGCCAGCCCCCCAGACTCCCAGCCCCCCAGGCTCCCAGGCTCCCAGCTCTCAGGCTCCCAGGCTCCCAGGCCTTTATGGTCAGGGTGCAGGCGAGGGTCATGCTGGCCAGCCCCCCAGCCCTCCAAACCCCCAGGCTCCCAGCCCCACCCCCACTCTCAGGCTTCCAGCCTCCCAGCCCCCCAGGCTCCCAGTCTCCCAGCCCCCTGCTCTCAGGCTCCCAGCCCCCCAGGCTCCCAGGCTCCCAGGCCTCTGTGGTCAGGGTGCAGGTGAGGGTCATGCTGGCCAACACCCCCAGCCCCCCAGCCCCCCAGGCACCCAGCCCCCCAGGCTCCTAGGCTCCCAGGCCTCTGTGGTCATGGTGCAGGTGATGGTCATGCTGGCCACCCCCCAGCCCCCCAGGCACCCAGCCCCCCGCTCTCAGGCTCCCAGGCTCCCAGGCCCCTGGCCTCTGCAGACGG